GGAGATTCTGGAACAGGAGCAGTGACAATCACAGAGCTGGCAGCCCATGCAGGATGGACTAGGGAAGGCAGGGAGGCCACCCTGGGCTTAGGCCTGAAGCAACCGGGGCAGCAGAGAGAACAGATGGGGATGGGCAGATGGGCAGGCAGGATGGCAGCTGGTTGCTGTGGGGCGGGGCAGACAGGACCTATGATGAAGAGTTAAAACTGCCGGGTGCAGTGGCTCATGCCTGTAATCCCAGCACATTGGGAGGCCGAGGAGGGTGGATCGCTTGAGCCCAGTAGTTCAAGACCAGCCTGGGCAACACAGCAAAAGCCCATCTCGACAAAAAATACAAAAATTAGCCAGGCATGTGGCGTGTGCCTATAGTCCAAGCTACTCGGGAGACTGAGGTGGGAGGATTGATTGAGCCCAGGAGATGGCGGTCACAGTGAGCTAAGATTTTGCCACTACACTCCAGCCTAGGCCACAGAGCAAGACCCTGGGGATGATGTCTCTGTTCTTCCCCAGGAAATAGTGAAGTGCGCCGGGTGCTGTGTGCCACGTGGCCAGAACCGATCAGACCCCAGGTGGGTCCCAGGCAGGCTTACAGGGTAGCCTCCAATGAGACCTTTGTCCACCCCAGCTGTTGAGAAAGGCTGGATCCAACAGTGTTTCTACAGCGTTTTTCCACAGAGGAGATTGAGGGCTGGTCACCGGGATGGGAGGAAGGGAAGGTGAAGAAGCCTGCCCAACATGAGTGGGGTCCCAGGGACTCCTCACGCTAAGGCTGCGGTGCAGGTGCGCAGGAGACATGGGGGCCCCGATAACGATCAGAGGGTCAGGAGATAGTTGGGTTGCGAACTGCCTTGCCCTAGTCTGATGTCCAGTTCCCAGGCTCCCGGGCAGCTGTGCCGGTCTCTCCTTCCAGCAAGGCTGAGTTATGAGGCTTTACCTGATCCCCAGAGACCAAACTCCTTTATTTCCAAACATGTCTTTGCTATGCACTCCCCATCCTCACTTTTTTTTTTTTTTTTTTTGACAGTCTCACTCTGTCGCCCAGGTTGGAGTGCACTGGTGCCTTCTTGGCTCACTGCAACCTCTGCCTCCTGGGTTCAAGTGATTCTCCTGCCTCAGCCTCCTGAGTAGCTGGGATTACAGGTGCCCACCACCAAACCTGGCTAATTTTTTCGTATTTTTTAGTAGAAATGGGGTTTCACCATATTGGCCAGGCTGGTCTCGAACTCCTGATCTCAGGTGATCCTCTCGCCTCGGCCTCTCAAAGTGCTGGAATTACAGGCGTGAGCCACAGCACCCGGCCTCCCCAGCCTCACTTTGGGAGCCCAAATAGGACTTTGCTTCTTGCTACCAAAAGCTCCTGCCCCAGGGTCTTCAGCCCTAAGGGCCACATTCAAATTTATACCCTGCTGCAAACAATTCTCTTACCAGAGATATCCAGTGAGCAACTATGAAACCCACCGCCCTCTGGGTGGGTGGGGCGACTTTCTGGAGGTCAAGAAGAATATGTGCTGGGCATAGTGGCTCATGTCTATTATCCCAGCATGCTGGGAGACTGAGGAGAGAAGATCGTTTGAGCCCAGGAATTTGAGGTTGCAGTGAATTGTGCTCGCAATACTGCACTCCAGCCTGGGCAACAGAGCCAGACAGTGTCTCAGATAAATAAAAGAATATATAAAATTTTAAAATGGGTGTCCTTCGGCTGGGTTCCCTCAAATGCGCTACAATAAGACAGAGCCTGGAATAGGGTGAGGTGAATGAGGTGCTGGCCTGGGGCCCCAAATTTAAGGGGCTTAGTAATCAAGAGAAATAATATGGAAATACAATATTTAAAAAAAATTGGCCAGGCATGGTGGCTCATGCCTGTAATCCTAGCACTTTGAGAGATTGAAGCAGGCGAATCACGAGATCAGAAGATTGAGACCATCCTGGCCAACATGGTGAAATCCCATCTCTACCAAAACTACAAAAAGTGGTGGCAGGTGCCTGTAATCCCAGCTACTCAAGAGGCTGAGGCAGGAGAATTGCTTGAACTTGGGAGGCAGAGATTGCAGTGAGCCGAGATTGCGCCACTGCACTCCAACCTGGGCGACAAAGCGAGACTCCGTCTTAAAAAACAAAACAAAACAAAATGTTAAAACAAAAATATCCATGATAAAGAAAGATTCATTTTATTGTATTTTATGCTTTGAAATGGAGTCTCGCTCTGTTGCCCAGACTAGAGTGTAGCAGGACGATCACAGCTTACTGCAGCCTCCACCTCGTGTGCTCAGGTCATTCTCCTACCTCGGCCTCACAAAGTGCTGGGGTTACAGGCGTTCTTTAAAAAAAATAAAAAAGAGCATTTATTAACTTTTTCCACTTGGTTCCAACTATGGGAGGTGGGGATTTTCCTGAGTGTGTACAAGGCTGCACAGAGAATCCTCCACGCACCTCCTGAAAGAGAGGGAGGAAGGGGTCACCCCAGGCGGGTAACGAGTCCGGGCGCAAGAGCCGGCTCCCGGTGAGGATCCCTCCGCGGCCAGCAGGGGACGCTGTGGGGCTGCGGCGCCAGGACCGCTTTTCCGGGAAAGTAGCCGCAGCGCACCCCGGTTCCCGACACCCACATCGCTCACAGCCCCAGCTCGCCCGGGGAGCTGACTCACTTGCTCAGCTCCTGGGCGAGATGGCTAACGCTGGGTGTCGAGAACAACTAAAGCCCAGACGTTGCTTCTTACCCACTCGCCCCCTGCACTCAGGCATAGCCCATCCAGAATCCCACGCCTTCCCCCAGCAAGGCCTCTGGGGGTGCCTTGTTTGTACCAAGTCCAAGCTGCATCCCCATCCCGGGTATGGCTGACTCGCTAATTGCCAGTGTCCTCTCTGTCGGGAGTGGAGAACAGGGAGAACCTTCCCGAAGGGCCACATTCCCGAAGGATTCCGGTTTTTGATGCGTTCAGAAGCCCCTTCAACCATTCTCAAGCCAACTGATGTGGGATGGGGGCCAGGCTTTCTTCCCGGAAGGTCTGCCCCACCCCTGACCTCAGATGCCCGTTTTCCTCCATAGTCCAGGTAGTCCCTATGGCCCGTGGCTCTGTGGCCCACACTGGCTTCGGTTCCAGCTCTGGCTTGCCTGGGCCCAGGAGTTGGAAGCTCTCCTGGTTTCCTGCTATTTTATTTCTTTTCTTTTTTTTTGAGATGGATTCTCATTCTGTCGCCCAGGAGTGCTGTGGCGCGATCTTGGCACACTGCAACCTCCTCCTCCTGAGTTCAAGTGATTCTCCTGCGTCAGCCTCTCAAGTATCTGGGATTATGGGTTCCTGCCGTCACGCCCAGCTAATTTTTGTATTTTTAGTAGAGACAAGATTTCACCATGCTGGTCATGCTGGCCTCGAACTCCTGACCTCAAGTGATCTGCCTGCCTCTGCCTCCCAAAGTGCTGGGATTACAGGCATGAGCCACTGTGCCCAGCTAGTTCCTTCTATTTCTTTTCCTTTGCCTCCTGACACGGCCCTGATGGCCTGTCACTGTCCTCTGCCCTGTGGCATCCATCTTCCTCCTCCTGGTACCTGCCTTGCAAGGCAGCCTTCATGTTCACTCCTGCTGTAAGTTAGAGGTAACTGCAGCTCAGAAAGGCTGCGTGACTTGCCCAAGGTCACCTAGCATCGAGAGATGGAGTCTGGGCCCAGAGCCAGTGCGCTGTCTTTTTCCACTGCCTCCCTGGAAAGGCCAGGCCCGAGCTGTCCTCTCTGCCCTGCATTGTTTTAGTTCATACAGCTCACTCTAGGCCTGTACTAGGTACTTGTCTTGCTTTCTAAGAGCAGTTATTTATCGATTCTTTGATTTCTACTGAGCTTCTCCCCTGTGCCAGGCCCAGGAGACAAAGGCAGAGGCTGCACTCAAGAAGATCATGGTCTGGGAGACAAGGCTCTTCCTGCATGTCCGATGAGTCTTCCCAGGCAGCCCGCAGGCCTCCCAAGGGGCAGAGGCTGTTTCCTGCTTCTCCTGCAGCCCACCCGGGGCTGGTGACCTCCTGGTCCCTTCTCAGGGAGCTGCTGCTGCTGCTGCCTTCATCATGGAGTGGGGGCTGGGCAGGCCTGACCCAGCCAGCTATGGGGTGAGGGATAGAGGGCTGGGGAAGGGATCTGGGAGCTGAGAGCACAGAGAAGGCATTGGGGGTTTGAGGTTTATGAGAGCAGGCTTCCTTTCTCAAACACCCAAGGGCTGATCCACTGCATGTAACTTGAGGTGGGTGGATTATCTGAGGTCGAGAGTTCAAGACCAGCCTGACCAACATGGAGAAACTCCATCTCTACTAAAAATACAAAAGTAGCTGAGCATGGTGACGCGTACCTGTAATTCCAGCTACTTGGGAGGCTGAGGCAGGAGAGTCACTTGAACCCAGGAGGCAGGGGTTTTGGTGAGCCAAGATTGCATCATTGCACTCCAGCCTGGGCAACAAGAGCGAAACTCTATCTCAAAAAAAAAAAAAAAAGGTCAAGGTTCAATCCTTGGTTCTATCACTAAAGTACTGGGACAAACAGGGTCCTTCTGTCTGGATATCTCACCTCTGATTCCTTCCTCCCTATTCTACCCTTGCTGGGAAGAGATTTCCAGAATCAAATCTTTAAATCTCCTGACTTTTTTTTTTTTTTTTGAGACCAAGTCTTGCTCTTTTGCCCAGGCTGGAGTGCAGTGGCACAATCTCGGCTCACTGCAACCTCCACCTCCCAGAGGCAAGTGATTCTCCTTCCTCAGCCTCCCGAGTAGCTGGGATTACAGGTGCCCACCACCACGCCTGGCTAATTTTTGTATTTTTAGTAAAGACGGGGTTTCACTGTGTTGGTCAGACTGGTCTCCAACTCCTGACCTCATGATCTGCCTGCCTCAGCCTTCCAAAGTGCAGGGATTACAGGCATGAGCCACCATGCCTGGCCAAGGGAGGACTTTCAGGAAAAAGGCCTGAGCCCAGAACCAGGGAGAGGAGACAGAGGCGAGGAAGAGACCGCACAAGTGTGCACAGGTACAGCAAGAATGGGTCTGTTTAATGACACAGCTGGGTCTGGTTACAAACATCAGTAACTAGAAAAGGAAGACAGGCAGTTACACAGATGACGGCCTGAAGATGGGATAGGAGGGGACACAGACATAGTAGCCACAGCAGCAAAACATCCTTGAAGACAATACATGTGACCAAGGGGCACACATGGGGGGGGTCCCCCTCCCCCGACAAGGCTGACGTAGATGAATAGACAGGGCCAACCGCTGGCCAGGAGGAGGATGGGGTGGGGAAGGCCCTCAGCCCTCAGAACTGAGGGTGAGACCCAGGGACGTGGTCCCACCGACCTGCTGCCCAGCAGCCCGGATCCCCTGGGGCTGCTCTGGTGGCCAAGGCAGGTGGAGCTGGCAGTGCAAGTTTCTGGACTGAGGCCCTTCCCCCAGTGCGGTCAGTCTGTCCAGAACTTCACTCTGCCCCTGCCCATTCTCGGGCAATTGGTGAGTCAGTTCCTCTCGGGGAGTAGGGGGAGCCCCTTCCTTTCTGCCTGGAAGTGGAATGCAGGAATGTGGGGAGCTGGTCTGAGAAGGGGCTGGGCTTTGCTGCCAAGCCAGGTTGCCCCAGCCCTGCCCCTCCAGGCCCAGGTCCTCTGCACCGCTGTGGGACTGCCTTTCTGCCAGAACACTCTGTTCTCTGCACAACGGGAACTCCTCCTTGCCCCACTCACAGGTGGGCAGAACTGAGGCTTCTGGGCCCCGCAGATACACATTCTAGATATGTACGCGTGTATATATATGTATATATATATATTTATATATAGCTCATATATAGAATATATCTGTATTTATGGTAGATGTGTGCGTGATACTCTAGATGGTGATGTGGAGACCTGCGTGCCGTCCGGGCTGATAGAAATGGGGCTGGTTTATTCCCCAAGGGACTCCTAGACCTGTCCCGAGCCCCGCCAGCCGCACAGCTAGGTCTCTCTCTAACAGTGAGTAGAAAAGCTAAGAAGAGTGGGCCCCGCTCTGCGAGGAGGAAGGGTCCCCCACCCGCCCACCACACTGGGGTCAGCATCCAGGCAGCCAGCGCTGCCTCCCAGCAGCTCCGGGGGGGGCTGTGGCTGCCGCAGAGGCCTCCTTCGGGGAAGTCGAGTCAGGGATTCCTCCAGCTTCCTTGGTTGTCAAGGAGGGTCTTCAGAACTCGGCCTTCTGCTCAAGGTGCTGCCAGGGAGGGGGGTGGAGGGAGGGGTCCTACGGCCCCGAAGAGGGCAGTGTGGCTGGTGGGCTGTGGATGAGATAGGAAGGGAAGGATATAGGTTACCAGAGGCAGGAAGGACCCTGGGGGGAAAGGGACCTGGGGCTGGCGAGGCTCACTTCCTGCCAGGAGACCGGGCACAGTGTGGTTGAAAGCAACTGTGAGAGCCAAGTTCCAGTCTGTGTCCTGCTCCGAACCTGCCGTGATCTCAGGTAAGTCTGTTGGCCCATGGGAACTCTGGATCTTTTTCTCTAAAATGTGAATAATGTCTGTCTTGTGCATAAACTGGGCAAAAAAGTGTTTCACAAACTGCAAAGCAACATACCAACGTAAGCTCTTTTTCCATTAGTTCTGAAATGTGGCGAGTTCTGTCTGGCCTGTCTCATCCCTCCTGGGGCCACCATCTGTATTCTCGTATTCTTGGTTCACGCAGCCCCCGCTGCAATCATCGTGCACCCCCCACCCGCCCACGCAAAGGCGCACACCCTGAAGCAGAGATGGCTCAATAAACAGTGGCGCCTGGCCCACTCCTGCTTCCCTGATAAGAGAAGTTGGGTGAGGGCCTTCTAGGACTCTGCCCTGTAACTCTGTCCTACCCTCGAGCCCATGGAGACCCTGGCAGCAGGGAGGCTCTGCAGGCTCAGGCCAGGGACCCTGGGAGTGGGCTAGAGGATGTAAAGGGATGAGGGGACAACCCCAGCACTTGACAGCTGGGGGCTAACCCCCATGGGGTGCCAGTGTCCACGATAGCCCATCTCCATCAGTCCAGAAAGAGCAGAAGAGGGAGAAGGAGGAGACTTTGGCACTTTCCTAATGTTTGGGGTTTGGAGATGGAGGTCCCGGGGCAGGGTGGGGAGGGCAGGGCGGGCAGCGTGTGGGGAACCAGGCCATGTGTTTCTGATTCACTGGGGCTCGCGCCCAGCCAGCTCTCTTTCCTGTCCCTCTCGGCCCTTGTATAAAAGCCCGTTTCTCTGGAAGCAGGAAGTGTTGTAAACAAACTCATCTTTGGCAGCCGAGCCTGCCTGGGGAGAGGGGTGGGAGGGCAAGCCCCCTCCTCTCTCCTCCTCTTCCCCTGGACCCTCTGAGTGACAGCTGGTGGGGGGCGAGGGGGCATTCCCAGCTCTCCACGCTCTACCAGTGCCCTCCTCTGGTGGGCCAACATCTGCTTGTTTCCCATTGACTCCGGGTTTCAGGCAGGCCAGGGCCCAGCTGTGCACATCTGGAGTTGGCTTGGCTGTGGCCAGCAGTTCTTGAGGACTCCATTCTCTTGGGGTGGTGCTGACGGGAGAAGGGGGAGGGGTGCAGGAGCCAGCCCCGGGCCAGTGTGGTCAGCAGCAGGAAGGGCAGGAGGCCTGACGTCCCCAGCTGCCCTCAGGAGACCTCCTCCAGGAGCTGCGCCTGTGAGCAGGAGGGCCGGCAGCTTGGGGACCCATGTAGAGCCCGGCGGGAGACACCGCCTTTTCCATGGGAAACTGCTGGGAACGTTTCTCCACCACGTGTGTCTTGGGCTGCTGGCTGACCTCTGCTTCCCATTCCTGCCTCCGCTCCGCTCACTCCTTCCTACTCCAGCCCTGCCTCTGCGTCTTCATTCAGCTCCCAGAGTAAGCCTCCCCTTGGGGGCCCAGGGAGGCTGAGTGTTCCCAGCCGCTGTGTCTGGGGGCTAGCCCTCCCCTCACGCTCCGAGTCAGCAGGAGTCACGGAGGCCGGCCACCCTCCTTGAGCCACCTCCCGGGCCCAGAACGGGAAGGCCAGCCTCCAGGTCAGCCTGGAAGTAAACATCCCCCTGTGAGCGTGCGTGTGAGTGACACCCATGGAGCTCCCTTGTGGGCTTGGGCATGTGGGTGTGTACATGTCCTCGTGATCCTCCTGGCTCTAGCCCTGTTGAGGCAGAGGGCAGATTGCAGCACTGGTCAGCAAGAGATGAAAAAACATCCCCTTGTGACTGGCACCCAGGGAGGAAGTGGCTGGGCTGGCCTGGGCCGCTTCTGAGCCTGATGATCAGACCTTCCGCCAGGAGCCTCTGGCGCCTCTCTGCCTGGCCAGCTGTGGCATTGGATGCTCTTAGCACTCCCTGGCTCTAGGGAATGAGAAGGCTCGGGAGGACCTCTGCTCAGGCTCACGGTTCTGCGCAGCCTGAAGTCCCAGGGGAGCCGTCTTGAAGGCCTGTTCCTATGATGCCTGTTCTTCCATGTCAGACCCCAGGGTTGGCCTGCCTCAGGTTTTCCCTCCCAGGCGGTCAGCCCCAGGGCCCCAGGAGAGATGGAAGACCTTGGGGACAGGAGAGGACATGGCAGGGAGGCTGCCCAGCCCACCCTCGCCCGCCTCCTCACGTGGTGGCGTTGGGGACCTGCTGCACCCAGCCCACTTCCTTGTAGGCAGCGGTCACGTGGCTGTAGATGAGGCCACGCAGCTTGGCCCAGGCTCTCTGCGTCTCAGGTGGGAAGTCATTGGCAAATTCCTCGGCGATCACCTCCAGAATGACCCCAGAGAGGATCTGGGGGTAAAGGGAGGAAGGGGGAGTGAACGCGAGGGCGCCCTGCATCCGTTAACCCCCGAGCCCCTCCATCCCATGTGTGGCCAAGGGGATTGTTCCTAATGCCATAGCCTGGCAGCTTTGGGAGCCCAGTGCTGTCAGGACAAAGGCTGCCCTGGACCTAGCCCCTCCATCTTGCTGCCAGCACTGCCCCTCCCTCTCGCAGCCACTCTGGGGGTCACCTCTGCTGTCCCAGGAAGCCCTCCTGGAGCCTGCGAGCTGCAGGTGGCCATGAAGAATGGGCGTGGGGTCTCTGCAGCAGAGCCGGGTGCCTACCTTGAAGTACACGGGCTCCACCTTGTGTTTGAGGGCGTGGGCCTTCCCCACGAGGGCAAGCACAGAGGACACCTTGTCGGGGTCGTGCAGGTTCTCCACCACAGTGTTGAGGGCTCCCATGACCCTGCAGGCGTGCTTCCGCAGCTGGGGGCTCCGCTCCATCTCCAGGGGATCCTCCATGTGCTTGAACTGGCTGAAGTATTGCTTGGCTGAGGGGAAGTTCACAAAGAACCTGGCAAGAGGAACAGGGTAGATGCTGAAGCTGGGGCATCCTCCGGCCCACCCTGAAGCGGCCAAGATAGTGGGAGCTGAGGAAGCCACCCCAGACCTCCCCATCCCTGCACCATCACTATTTTCACTGCTATCCGTAGAGCTCAGCACAGAACCTCCTCGCTCTGGCCAAGCCGGCTCACCTGGGGCCCCTACCCAGTCCAGCCACATCCCTCTGCCAGGCTTTCGCAGGCTGGTGGCTTCCTCTCCCAGGCCTCTGTCTTCCTCACTTCTTGCTTCCTTCCCAAACTCTACACCCCCTTCAAGGCCTGCTCTAGTCACAGCTGACAGGGTAAGAGCTCAGGTTCTGGAATCATAGTGAACCTGAAATGAAATCTTCTCCAGTTGGTCTGAAATGGTTCCGATTCTCCTAAAATACTGCTTTCATGAAGTCATGTTCATACTCAAAAGCATTCAATGACTCCCTACTGTCTGCCAAAGTGAAACTCCTTTTCTGGGCACTCCCGGCTTCTTCTGAACTGTCCCCCACCCACTTCTTCAAACTTACGTTCACATTCCTCCCAATATTCATGTCATCCCTCTCCCGGCCCAGCGGCTCTATTTACTGTTGAGAAAATGTTCCTCAGGAGGCCCCATTCCTTTTTATGACCCATTTTCTGTGTTAGGCATGCCTTACCTGGAGCAGGCTGGCCTAGAGCAAATGCTTTGCCCCCAGGCTATTGGCACCACTCAGGCGGCCTTCCCTGCCCCCCTTCCAGCCTGTCAGACCGATCCCAAGGCTCTCATGCACCCTGACCCCCTGCCCTAGCTGGGGTCCTGCAGTGTGAAAAATGACAGTGTTTTGTGTGTGTGTGTGTGTGTGTGTGTGTGTGTGAGATTGCGTCTTACTCTGTCATCCAGGTTAGAGTGCAGTGGTGCAATCTTGGCTCACTGCAACCTTTGCCTCCCAAGTTTAAGTGATTCTCCTGCCTCAGCCTCCTGAGTAGCTGGGACTACAGGTGCCTGTCACCATGCCCGGCTAGCTACTTTTTTGTATTTTTAGTAGAGAAGGGGTTTCACCATGTTGGCTAGGCTGGTCTTGAACTCCTGACCCCAGCCTCCCAAATTGCTGGAATTATAGGCATGCACCACTGTGCCTGGCCAACAACGACTTTTGCACCTCCTCTCCCTGTGGGGGCTGGATATCAAATGAGACATAGGCATGGACTCAGTCAGAACTTACATAACTTAAGCGAATCCCCGAAAGTGCATGGAGTGCCCTGGACCTGTTCTTCCAGGTTGTTCCACCCCTTTGTGCATCCCCTTCGTAATCAGAGGGAGCTGATAATTTGTAGAAGCAGCCCTTTGGCCAGGAGGTGAGTCTCAGATGTGAGGGCTGGAACAGATGCAGAGAAGGCATCTGGCCGGGTCGTCCCTACTGGTGCTGGATCCGCTGTTGGCAGGGGAAATTTGCACAGTGACCAGTGCACAGTCTGCGTGGAAACCCAGGAGGGCCCCTCTCAGAGGCCAACTGTGACCTTAGGCAAACCCCCTCACAAGCTCCCTGTCTGCAGAAAGGTGAGAGGAGATCCCCCGATCACTGCTTCATGGATACACGGGTGAGGACATGTGAGGCTGTCGGTCTAAAGATACACTGAATTTTCTGGAGAAGCACTGTAATGAGGGACCAATGTGAAAAACCCAATTTGGACTTAAATGAGCATCTCAGACATTGGAGGTTTTACAATTGCAATAAAAAATAATGATATGGCCGGGCACGGTGGCTCACGCCTGTAATCCTAGCACTTTACGAGGCCAAGGCAGGCGATCACCTGAGCACAGGCATTTGAGACCAGCCTGGGCAATGTGGCAAACCCTGTCTCTACAAATACAAAAAATTAGCCAGGTGAGGTGGCACACACCTGTGGTTCTAGCTACTCAGGAGGCTGAAGTGGAAGGATCACTTGAACCCAGGAGCTCAAGGCTGCAGGGAGCCAAGATTATGCCCCTGCACTTCAGCCTGGGTGACAGAGTGAGATCCCAAATCAAAAGAAATAATGATAATAAGTAATAATAATAATAAAAGGCTGGGTGTGGTGGCTCATGCCTGTAATCCCAGAACTTTGAGAGGCCAAGGCAGGAAGATCCGTTGAGGCCAGGAGTTCGTGACCAGCCTGGGCAACATAATGAGATCCTGTCTCCAGAAAAAAAGAAAAAAATTGGCTTGGTATGGCGGTGCATGTCTGTAGTCCTAGCTATTTGGGAGGCTGCAGCAGGAAGATCTGATCACACGAGCACAGGATTGGTGGCTGCAGTGAGCCATGATCGTCCCACTGCACTCCAGCTTGGGTGACAGAGCAAGACCCTGACTCAAAATAATAATGATATATATTTGCCTGGTGTTTTACAATTTGCAAAGTATCTCCACGTATGTTATTGAACCCCTTCCTTCCCTTCCTCCTCTCTCCTTCTTTCTCTTTCTTTTTCTTTTCTTTTCTCTCTCTCTTTTTTTCTCTTTTCCCCTTCCTTCCTCCCTTTCTCTCTCTCTCTTTTCTTTCTCCCTTCCTTCCTTCCTTCCTCTCTCTCTCTCTCTCTCTCTCTTTTTCTTTCTTTCTTTCATGGAATCTCACTCTGTTACTCGGGTTGGAGTGCGGTGGTGCTATCTTGGTTTCCTACAAGCTCCACCTCCCAGGTTCAAGTGATTCTTCTTTCTCACCCTCCCAAATTAGCTGGGATTATAGGTGCCCGCCACCAGGCCCGGCTAATTTTTGTATTTTAGATACAGGGTTTTGCCATATTGGTCAGGCTGGTCTTGAACTTCTGACCTCAGGTGTTCTGCCCTCCTTGGCCTTCCAAATTGCTGGGATTACAGGTGTGAGCCGAGGTGCCTGGTCTGTTATTGTATTTAATTGCCACAGCTAAGCAGGTGTTACCTCTATTTTACTGATTAGGAAACAACAGGGAAAATTTATTGAGCACTTACTGTATGATCTCACAAATACTTGCATTTCCCTCCTGAGATACGCACCGTTTTAATCCCCCTCTTATGAATTAGGAATAGATGTCCAAGATTGCCCAATAGAGTAGATGGGCCAGGAAGGGGCCCAGATGGGCCCTGCTTTGATGGTTTCCCCACACTGCCTGAAAAGATGGCTGTGCCAGGGGACTGTGGCCTGGTAACCAGGTGTCTCCTGCCTCAACACCCACCACTGGGTTGTGGCCCTGAGGAATGACAGTCTCAGGGAGCCCCCACCCAGACCCTCCAAGGTTCTGCAGCCCGTGGGGCCCACGTGTGTGGCTCCTGCCTCCTGGCTCCATGATGTTTCCACTTGAGACTCGCCCAGTCTCAGCCTGTGCTGCCAGGGAGAAGCCTCCACAGCCAGCCCTGGGGAGTTTCTCAGCTCCCAGAGGAATCTGGGCTTCCAAGAGAGCCTGAAATAGGCCTGTCTGAGTGTGAGGAGGAAGGTGTCAGAGTTACAACCCGGCGGGAAGGTGGGTGTTCCCTCTTGGTCTCCTCCCTGGCTGGGAGTGGAAGTGTGGGGTCTGCCCCAGGTTCTGAAAGTAACGCCTCCTCCACCCCCACCAACGTGGCAACTTCTCCAGGTTGGGGCTGTGGAGGTACAGCGGCCTTCTCCCTGCCCTGCAGGCTCACTAGGGCTGAGAGCGCTGGCCTGGTGCAGTGAAGAGGGCACAGTTGAGAGCGCTGGCCGGAGGGCTCCAGCTGGGGCCTTGACCTTGAGGATGTGTGTGTTGTGTGTGGGAAGAAAGCACTGTGTCAAGACTGATGGGCGCAGGATCTAAGGAGGGACCTTCAGGAGCCCTTATCCCCCTCTCCTCCCCTCCCCTACTGACCAGGCCCTGGGCAGAGACAGGAGGAAAGAAGGAAAGCGAGGCCCTGTGGGGTTGGGCTGGCAGGGAGTGGCTGAGACAGAGCTGAGACAGGCTGGGCTCTAGTCCGACAGAATTGAGCACATTGGTAACGACCTCCTCCAGCCCAGGCCCAGGCCCCTCTAAGAGACAGGAGTGGAGACTGGAAGAGGGGTGGAGAGAAAAAAAGAAATCCTGGCTGAAAGCTCTGACTGTCCAGACATGGCCCTGCCCTCAGTGCTTCATTTCTCCTTGGCATCTGCCCCACCCTGGTCCCCTTCCTGGGGAGGTTCAGTGGTGCCCCGGGATGTGGACGGTGAGTACTTCCTCCACGGATCCGCACAGGCACGTGGCAGGGGTTGGGACAGAAAACCTCCAAGGTCCTGAGGACCCTGGCTTGCCTCCTCTGGTGACCCATGTGCTTGCCTAGACACGCACCCGGCTGCCAGTGTCCGAGGATGCAGTCTGGCTCTGCTACCCGCTGTGTGCTTGTGTAGATGCCAGCCCGTGGGGGGATCTGCGGTTCCAAGTGTCTGAGGCTCCAGGATCCCAATGCCCCTCTTAGCTTCCGGCCGCTCCCAGCTCTGTTTCTGGGCCTGGGGTGCTGCTGAGATAGCTGCCCCATCCTCAGGAATGCTCCTTTAACTCCTTAGAAGTGCTTCCTGCTCTTTTTCCTCCAAAATCTGCTTCGGAGTTGGAATCAGGGCATATCATGGTGGAGCTGGGTAGGTCCCAGGCTTGAGAGAGAGAAGCTGGAGACGGAGAGGCCTGGGAGTCGGGGAGGCACTAAAGCTATCCTTGCAGAGCGAGGCTTCACCCGTCTTCCCATGACAAGGCTGTCCTGCTCTGTCCTAGATTTGACCCTTTCCTCTGCCAAGAACAGGGGATTGAGAGTGAGCTGGTCTGGAACCTCTCTGCCTGCACCCCCAGGGGCCAGCACATGTGGGAAGAGAGCATGGATTTGTAGCTCGAGTCAGTTACTAGCTTTCGAGGCTTGGACACATCACGTTAATGAGAATGGTGTGTGCACGCTCTGGGCAGGTGTATGAATGGGACGCTCTGTGTGTGTGGCTCTCTTAGGGACGTGTGGTGCCTGAATGACCCCCTAAGCCCAAGCCACTGCATTTCCTCCCTAGGTGGGGGGTTTTAGGGTTAGGCCCTGTCTCCTGACAGGGTTAGGCTTCTCTCTTCTCCAGTCACCCTCAGACTCAGCAGGGACTGTATGCTCCCGCACTGTTTGCTTCTCCACACCTGTGTCTGCGCCAGGAGATCCTGCTGACCTGCACCTCCAGCAGGAAGAGGGCAGCTGGGAACACTGGACCCCAGCTCTCTTCCTTCTCAACCTCTGCTCTTTGCTCCCTGTTCTTCCAAGAGGCTTTGAATCCAGTGAGCAGCTGAGCTTGAGACAAGGGTCTGCTCCTCTTTGTCCCCTTTCTTGACTGAGCCTCGGTTTACCCATCTCTAAAATGGGGAGCCCCTGCTACTCCCTTTCAAAGGCCAGAAAAATGTGTGTGTCTGACAGCTTGGCTGGGTGTCTGGGGTCTCTGGCCGAGGGAGGAGTTCTCAGGCCGGGAAAAGGAGGGGGACCGAGGTGCCCTCCAGCATCTTGTTCCTAGTTCCTGGTGAGCTCCACGCCAGAGCCAGGGAAAGCTCAGCCCAGGCTTCGTTCACCCCAAGGCGCCCCACGCTGCCCGCCCCGCCGACCTCGCACCGGCCCCAGTCACGGCTGGGGAGGTGGCGCCGGAGCTCGGACCCTGGCCCAGCCCGCCTCTGCCCGGAGCCGCTGCCGCCCTCCCTGCCCAGGGCCCGGCCGGGCCGGGCGACACCTACCTCACCAGGATGGCCACCCCCACGTCCTCGCAGTGGGCATAGAGCCGGGCCCACGTAGCCTGCACCGCCTTCCTCTCCGCCTCGGACAGCTCCTCGCTCCGCTCCCTGCGCTCGATCTCCATCTCCCCTGCCACTTTCTCCATGAGGAGCTCCAAGCCCAGCCTGGCTTTGCTCGGCGGCGGCGGCGGCGGCGGTGGCGGGGCGCGGGGCGCCGAGCGCTGGGCGCGGGGCGCGGGGCGCGGGGAGCGGGGAGCCGGGGCCGGCTGCGTGCGCGGCGGGCGGGCGAGGGGTAGAGCGCGGAGGGAGGAAGCGTGTGTCTGTGCGCGCCGGGTGTGTGTGTGTGTGTGTGTGCGTGCGTGTGTGCAGGGTATATGTGCGGGGGGCGGGGGACAGCCAGCGGGGGGCGGGGATGTGGTCTGCTGGAAAATGTTTAAAAAAACAAATCCGCTCCAAACCCCGGGCCCCGTGTGGGTGAGCCAATGCCGGCAAGGTGAAAAGCTGCTCCGGGTGGGGGCGACGCGACTGCCGCCCGCCCACCCGCAGGCCACCGCGGAGTTGCACTGCGGGGCGGGGCTGGGGTAGGTGTGGCCGGGGCAATGGGGGTCCCGGGAGGAATGGGCGGTCACGCGTCATAGGGTGGCGCGGGCCGCACAGGAGTGCGCCGAGGCGGGCGCGGGCCGGTAGCGCTTGGTCCCGGCTCCCAAAGCGTGCGGCATCCCGGGTGTGCGCGTGCAGACCCTTCCAGCGGCGGGGAACTGACTCAAAGTCCAACACTCCCGAGCTTTCGCTGTGAGGCTGCCCGCTAGCCCTTCCGTGGGGTCCCCTGGACCGCGCTGGGCTCCCGGAGCCCCGGCCTCTCCCCGGAGCCAGGCGCTGGTGGCCGCGGCGCCACGGCTCTTGGGGTGGGGGGATTAGACTGGGATCGTCCCCCCGCCCGCCCACCGCCCTGGCTGTCGGAACTTGAGCGCACCTCCGATCGCGGGCGCCCGAGGCCTGCGACCCCTTTCCTTCCGCCCAGCACCCCCGTTGCCCTCGGTGCACGCGCGTGGCGGCGGGGGCGTCGAGAAGTCCCCCGTGGCTTACCAATGACAAGGACAGGCAAGAACTAGGCGCTGCCCTGAATTCTGGCCCAGCTGGTGTCGGAGAAAAGTCCGGAGAGGCACCGGATAGGGCAGAGAGGACTTGCCGGTCAAGAAGTCCTGAGGAAGGCACAAGCCGCTGGGGACATCTCAGCTGCCACCAAGGGCTTGATTCCGGGCTGGGGGAGACAAATCCTTCCTCCTGGTGGACCCTGTCCAGAGCAGTGTGCGTTGGGCCAGAGGTAGGGGGAGAGTTCCATGGTGCCCGCCCTTCAGCGGCTGCTGGGTCCTGGGAACAGCCTGAGGCCAGACAGTTCCTGGCAGTGTCAGGAAGAGAAGTCACTCAGGCTCCCCGTGACCCTGTCCTTGCTCAAGACTTGGTGTCCCATTGCCCAAGCATTGCCAAGGGTTGGCTCTGGGCTTCTGCTATGGTTCATGTATTTATTCTTAAAATTCGACTGTAAGGTCCTGGGGAGGCAGGGAGAACTCGCCCAGGCAAGCCTCAGCTGCAGGCTGGGCCCTTCCTGGGAGCTCAGGGCTCCGGTGCCTGGGGGACCCTGGGGCAGTGCATCTGACACTGCCTCCCCCTTGTTGAGTGAAGGAAAATCTAACGCCTCCTGGAGGTTTTGGAGGGGTGGAGAGGAGTGGGTGGGTTCAGGTTCTCTCATTACTCCCAGACCCACGTCTCAGCGTGGTCATGGCTGGTTCTACGCTCCACACACACTGAACAGTTTCTCAAAGTTGCTGGGACCAAGTGGCTGCCCAACAGGTCCCCTTGGAATGTGGAAAGTAGGAGAAAACCGCTATTTCTTTTCATCTCATCCTTTGCAAATTCAGTGCAGCCTTATGGTGTAGGGATGTATCTGCATCGTCATCTAGCATATAATTTGTAGGTGGGTGCACCTATCTATTTTGTGAGTGCGCACTTGAATTCTGCCTTTTACTGAAGAGGGTGTGTAATCAGTAAAGTTTGGAGAGGATTGTCCAGAGGGTAAACTGTGCCAGCCCTTCACTGTCGAGTCTCCCCTGTCTCTCTGGCTTCGTTATTGAATATTCTTCCCCTTTCTTCCTCCTCTCCTGATCTTTCTGCGGTGACATCATTGCTTCACCTCTGCTCACCTTGCAGTTCCCCGCAGATGCTCCATGATTTCATGTCAGTAGCCTCGGCAGCGTCTTCTGTCTGAGGGCTCATCCTCCTTGCGCTGCAAATTCAGATGCCCTCGCCCCTCTCTGAACCTTGCCCTGATGCCTGCAACTCTGAAAGTGCCCTGGAGGCGCCTTGAATCACTCCCGGGTCACTCTCCTGCAGTCATTGTACTTGACAGCACATTCGTCTAGACTGGCAGCTCCTTGTAAGCAAGGCCTGGTCTCAGAGATGGACATTCCGAATATGTGCCCAATGCCACAGTACACACCTTGATCCTACCGCTGGAGGGGAGAACCGGGGCCCAGCGAGCTTAATCAGTCCTCCCAAGGTCAAGGCCGCTGACCCACTAATCAGCTTGAGCCTCCTAATCCATCCCCAGCAGGAACCGCAGGACAGACCGCAGTGGCTCCTGAGAGCTGGCCGGGGCCATTTTGGCTCCTCGCCTGTGGCCTTCTGTGGACTTGGTCTGGGAGGGGATGGGGCAGCTGCGCCATGTGCACCACACTTTTCCTGCTCAGCACCCTGGCCATGCTCTGGCGCCGCCGATTTGCCAACAGAGTCCAACCGTGAGAAACTGACTGGGCTATGGCTGGGGGTTGGTGGGGGAGGACCCATGGGGCTGGGCTGCCACTAAGCCTGGACCTTCAGGGGAGCTGGGAGGGCATTTTCAAGGAACCCTTGAGAGCTCAGTCTCAGAGCAGGGGACACTTAGAGCGTCAAAAGCTCTAGTTGCAGCCTCCAGTGCCATAGCCCAATGCGGCTGGGACCTGTGGAGGGGCCGGGCACGGCCATAGTTCTTCCTGCCTACTCTTGCCTCCCACAGAGAGCCCAGCGACGTGGATGGGGCAGTTAGGGCCAGCAGCGTGGACTCAGACCCTCAGGCCTCTGGCAGGTAAGGCTGGAATCTGGGCTGGGAGAGGGAGGGTGCTGCCAAGGATGCTGTGGCTGTGCCTGGTTGGGGGTGCACGTGTGTGCCTGTGTGTGCGCCTGTGCTGCACCGTCTCCCGGCGCTTGCCCTAGGCACCCAGCTCCCCGTCCGCCTGGTGGGCAGGCCGGATGTCTTGTTTTCTGCAGTTGGGAATGGGAGCCCCCAGCCGCTCCTCTGGACCAAAGCTGCTGTGCCTCTCATCTCCAGTACGGAGCGGTCCCCCGGGGCACCTTCTGTCGGGAGGCGCAGGGGAGTGGAGGCAGGGATGAGGCAGGAGGAGCTGTGCGCGGCTTTGCTCGCCTTTCCTTGCCCTTCCCCCTCCTCCTCCTCTGCCCCCGCCCCGCCTCGGCTTCGCTGCCCCAGCCTCCTGCAGGATTCGCTGTCCAGTCCCCAATAGAAGGCGCGGGAGGAGCATGACATCATCAGCATTGAGTGCCATTGGCTGGGCAGCCCCTGCGGGCAGGACGCTGTCTCCAGTGGCCAGAAAGTTAACTCTTCCCTAGGCTGAAGCCATGTGGTCTTTAGGGGGTGAAGTTGGGGGAACTTCCAGACTTTTCCTTCCGTGGGTGACCACTGTCGTTCGATGACAGGGGCGCCTATCCCAACGAAATACAGGGATACACCAGCAAATCTTTATTAAGTTCCCGTGCACGAGGGGTTCCTTTTGTGCCTATGGACTCACCTAGCATGGGAGACCCGTCTGAAGAAGGACTTTTTTGCTCCCAGTGAAACAAAGAGTAAAAAATATCCTATTATATCCTTGGGTCAGGGCCTGCTGGCAGGAGGGTGTCTCCACACAGGGTGGATGCAGGTGGCGGGGTCCTGTGACCATCCATGTCTCTGAGTGGGGACTTGCCAGCAATGAGTCCCTTTGATATGTGACAATGGCAACCGAGAGAACCTCAGTCTTCCTGTCTCCTGTCCTCTGAGTCCTGGGATTCTGAGTCCTGAGATTCTGATGATCAGAAGGCCCGACGGGAAGCCCTGGGACTGTACAGGAAACAGAGGCATTTCTGTGACACTGGATAGGCCAGCTGGGATCATCATAACAGTGCCTGCTTAGTATCACTAGTTAAATCGGATAAAATGACCACGCCTGGGCCTCCCCCCACAGGAGGCCCTCAAATGCTGAGTGGTCCTCACTATTGAGCCAGGGTCTGGAGTTGGGCAGGGAGAATTTAAATCCTGGCTTCCCTCTTACTAATGGAAAGACTATGGGGCCATTTACGCACTCAGTTTATTTTTACGTAAACTAGGGTTGATAACAGTGCTTTCGAGGTCCTGGTGAGGGTGCAGAATAATTGCACCATAAATGCTAGCAGCTGTCTTGTTCTACCCGGGACCTGTGCTTTAGTGTTCTCCAGAGGTTTCTTATACATTAACTCACTCAGAAGTCTCAATACCCAGAGGACTGGCAGCACATGTGTTTTTTTTTTTTTTTTTTTTTTTTTTTTGAGACAGAGTTTCGCTCTTGTTACCCAGGCTGGAGTGCAATGGCACGATCTTGGCTCACCGCAACCTCCGTCTCCTGGGTTCAAGCAATTCTCCTGCCTCAGCCTCCCGAGTAGCTGGGACTACAGGCATGCACCACCATGCTCAGCTAATTTTTTGTATTTTTAGTAGAGATGAGGTTTCACCATGTTGACCAGGGTGGTCTCGATCTCTTGACCTCGTGATCCACCCATTTCGGCCTCCCAAAGTGCTCGGATTATAGGTGTGAGCCACCGCACCCGACCAGCACATGTGTTTTTAATCTTTGGTTAGTGGTTGAGGAAACTGAGGGGCAGGAAGATTTAGGTGACTTGCTCCCGATAATCTATCTCATTTGTGGCAAATACGAGATGTTCAGGCCCTGACTTCCAGGCAGTGCCTCTTCTACATGAAATGGGCCTGGACCTGCTGGCAGGAGAGAAAAGGCCAATTCTGAGGACCATCTGGCCAGGCCAGGCCTGGCGTGACTTAGCCAGAAGGAAGCAGTTGCCTATTAACTCCTTGGGACCCAGTTAACTGGAAAAATCGGTCTGACATCGAGGAACCACCTGCCGATGGTGGCTGCTGTGGAGGGCTGGCGGTGGGGGTGACATTTCTGCTCTCCAGTCACACTGTCCTAAATGCCAACTGATTGCCTAGGTGCTCCTGCCCCTCAATATTGGGGTGAATCGATAGGGATGGGAGTAGGAGGAAGAGGAGAGTGAGAAACATGGGAAGGTCACATCCTCCAGTTCTGACCCCAGTGCTTTCCTCTGTTTAGGGAGAAAGAACCTCTGAAGTAAAGCCTCACCTCTGCAGGTGGGCTCAGGCCCAGAGACTGGGATCAGCTGGCCCAGGCAGGTAGGGCAGGGCTGGGAGTTGGGGAGGACAGAGGGCAGGGCTGGGGACAGGGAGGAAGAAATAGACAAGGCCTGGCCATATAGGAGCATAGCAGGCAGAGTTCAGCCCTTGTGGTCTCTGATGGAGGTTCAAAGTAGGTGAATGGACTTGTGCCTTTGGCTGCTACCTTAAGCCTGTTGTGTTCCAGGCCATGGGGCAAGGGTTAGTTTGCAGAGAACCACGTGTGGTTTGACCACATTTTCTAGGCTTGGGGATGGCGTGGTGGTCATGATGGGGCGCAAGGGCAGTGTCGGAGGACATCCAAGGGAGAGGCGGTGCTCTGCAGCATCCACTCTGAATGCAAGTCCCATCCTCAGGTGTGGGAGAAGTGCTGATCTGTTCCGATTTTTTGTTTCAGCTCAGGTCCTGGTTCGTTCCCTAGTCCAGGAGGATGCTGTGGGAGCCGGGGCAGCAGCAAGAGGGAGAATGGGGGAAAGCAGCACTAAAGGGTAGGTACCCCCACTTTCAGCCCAGGACCTACCAGTCTCCCCTTCCCCCAGGCCCTGGCTGTGGGCTCCCGAGCAGGACCTGGCTGGGCCTGGTAGAAACAGCAGAGGTGCTTGCTGCTCTCAGATGGGCTCCCTCCCCTCTGTGTTCCTGAGGCTCCTTTGAGGAACTGCTGAGTCTGAGAAAGCCCAGGGTGAGGGACTTGCTGGGTCCTCCCGCTAATTCCGGGGCAGCCAGCAGCCCAGACAAGAGGCAGGAATAAGTAAGGAGTGAGTAGACCCCAGAAGCAAGGGATGGCTGATGGCTCACGTTTACTAAGCAAGGGCTTCCATTCATTCTGTAATTTAATCCTCAGATACCCACAGAGCCTGGTAATATTATCCACAATTTCTAAATGAGGAAACACAGAGAGAGGTTAAATCATTTGCCCAGCGTCACCTGGCAGTACATGGAGGCTCCCGGGCTCACACTGGAGCTGCAGAGCCCACGCTCCTACCCACCATGGCAGGCGGCCTCCCCCTGGAACCCAGCACAGTTTGCAGGGGTTGGGGGTGGATTGCTGGCCCAGCCACTGCCTGTCAGCCCAGGAGCTATTCTGTGAAGCCTCCGCTTGTGGTCTGAGGTGCTGGTGTCAGTTGGCCACAGTGGCACTCGCTTCTGTGGCACTTGCCTTTCCCCAGTTCCCAGAGCTCCTCCTGTCACTGGCTGCTCTGCTGAAATTATCAATAAGAAATGCCAGTTGGATCTGTGACATGTCTGCCTGCAGCTGGATGGGAGCAACTGACAGCTTGTCCTCCCAATGTGTTTTCTGCCGTGTGCTCGAGCGCGTGTGTTCCAAATGGGCAGTAGCGTGTGGGAAGGAAAAAGCCTGACACTTGTTTTTGTCAATTTGCTGATGCTCAGTCCCCGCGGCTGCCTCCTTTGCCCCCAGCTGCTCTGCCATTTCTCACTTTGCAATCCTGCGATCCTGCACAGAGATAAAAGCAGATTTCCGCTTCTACTCCCAAATCCAGGCGCAGACCCTGCAGGCAGCTGCTCCCGACATCTCGAAGCTATTAGTCTTCAAAATCCCCCCATGCCTCCGTGCACACGAGTCTCTCCTCCCCAGCCAGCTCCCTCTGCCAGCCTGGCGGCGATGTCTCCGCCTGGCTGGCCCCTGCCCTTGACTTTCAGGCAGTAGGAGACGGAGGAGTTCTCTAGACAGCAGCACCTCAGCTGCCGCTGCTCCGCCTCTGAAGGGAAGGAAGGGAAAGGGTGAGGGATGCCGCATAGGAGAGGGAACCACTGGGGAGGTGCTCAGGGTGGGGGAGGAGGCGCACCCCGCTGGGGAGGGGCTGCCGGTTCCTCGGGGAGCCTGGCTGGGGTGTGTGCAAAGGCAGTTCTGTGGGAGTCTCTCAAAGTAGGGCAGGCAGGAGGCAGGGGGAAAGTCACACTAGGGAAGGAGCCCGCAGGGGCAAAGCCAGAGCGCCAGCCTGACCCAGGCCGTGAGCCTGTGACTGCCTGTCTCAGCTCCTGTCAGCCTGTCTCTTTCCGAGAGGCATCGGCCTTCCTGGTGACAGGCCTGTCAGGCTGAGGGCCAGAGGGCACTGTTCTGGGGACCCAGTCTGTGTTCCCAGATCCTATCTGCATTTATTCTCTCATCTATTTGCCATGTTCCTGTCACCTCATCCTTGCTGCCATTTCCACGTTGCCTATCTTCTTCCACTGGTCTGAGGAACTGTCAGGCCAAGGTCATGGGTCTGGCTTATGGCCCAGAGGCACTTCCCCAAGGCAGCACCCCTCCACAGCACTGTTCCAAGAACCTGCGAGGAAGTGCCCACTGCTCCAGGGACCCGATCTAGATGAAGGGCAGGAAAGAGAGAGGAAGGGGCTGCTGGCTGGTGGCGGGGCTGGGGCTGCCTGGGCAGCTGGGGTGCCATGTGGGCTGGTGGGGGGGGCTCTCTCCCCCAGGGAGCAGGCTGGCTTTGGTGGGAGCAGATTGTGTTTACACCTTCCCCGCACACCCAGCCCACGCTTGCCTCTTATTCCCGGGGCCTCTCCCCCCCCCCCCCCCCCCCCCCCGGGTTCTCTGCGCAATCTGCACATTTGCAGCTCCTGCTGCAGAAAGTTGCCTCTCTCAGCCTAGAGCTCCCCACAGAAGGCTCCCGGGACCCAGGTGCCCCTTCCTCAGACCACTGGCTCCCATCGCAGGGGTTGGTGTGAAGCTCAGGGCTAGGGTGGACCTTTAAGTGGGGCAATGGCTTAAATCCTGACTAGGACACTGTACCCACGGAGGCTGAGTCCTTTCTCCTCCTGTTTCCTTGCAAGGAGCCACTGCTTGGGAATGGGAGCAGGAGTTCTCAGGGGCTTAGGAGAAGGTAAACAAAGGGCAACTAGAGAGGTAGAGCTGAGGCAAAGGGTGGGGTCCCTTCTAGTCCAGGGTGCTGGCTACTGTGAAATGACAGAGTCCGAGAGGAAGGCGTCCAGAGTCAGAGCTCCTGGGTTCGAACCTGGTTCCACCAGTGCGTCCTACCTCTGTGGCCTGGGTAGGTTTCTGAACACCTCTGTGCCTCAGTTTCCTTAGCTGTAGGATGGGGATGGTGCTATCTATCTCTTAGAGTTGTCGTAAGGGTTGATTAGATAATGCATGGAAGAGCTTAGCACGTTGGGTAAGTGTCCCATATATGTGAGCTGGCACAATTAGGTTCGAACCGTAAATTACTGAACAGTGGTAGATTCAGGATGGCTAGAGTTCCTCACCTCCTCACTCTGTGGTCCTCCTGCTGCTTCTCCACAAACACAGAGCTGGGCAGCCAGCAGTTCTGCAACAGATTAGAGAATGGCAGAGGGTGGCATTGCTGGGGTGGGGAAGCACCCAGTATGCCAAAGGCTGTCACTGCCTCTCTGTGCCCAAAACCCTGTCCCAACCCCCAGGCATGGACACTGCCACTGCAACTGGCTCTGCTTCCGGAATGAACCTCAGCACCTTGACAAGCTGGGAGGCGCAGCCCTGATGTGGTGCCTTCCTCTGTGTCAATGCTAATCTCTCTGCTGGGGGAGTCTGAGTGACGGGGAAAGGCTGCTTGGAGCTGCAGGGCGGCTGAGGGCAGCAGCCAGGAGCAGGGAGGTGCTGCTCCTGTGACTGAGGCTCAGGGCGGCTGCTGGTCTCTCCTGGAGACTGGAGCATGACCAGGGAACTAATGAGGCGGCAGGGTGAGATAGGAGCGAGGGAAGTAGCCACAGCAGCTGCTGCTGTCCACTGTCACCCTGGGGTGTAGATGTCACCTTGGGGAGTACCTACCCACCCCAAGCGTGCACTTGTGTGTGTATGTAGTTGTGTGTGTGTGTGTGTGTGTGTGTGTGTGTGTGCAGACAGTCCTGGGCAAGGGCAAACAGCAGAGGTGCTGAGCCAAGACTAGATGAGTAGGGCATGGTGCCCACTCTGAGAGAGGCACAATGGCATAAGAGCGAACCCCACTGTTCCTAAGGCTCCCGTAGCCCCTCTGCAGGGGGCCTCACTGTTAGGAAGAAGCCCAAGACCTAGAGCTAAAGCTAGAGGAAAATCATGCTTCTTTTCTTTTTTTTTTTTTAACCCTAATACAGATTTTGGTAGGAAAATCATGCTTCTTTGTGAACCTCAGAATAGCAAAGTGGTTTGCACGGAAGCTTAGGTTAATATAATGATAATGATACTTATAACCACTAGCATACATTGGGTGCTTACTATGTGCTAGGCACTGTGCCACTGCTGTATTTTATGCGGCAGGAACTGTTATCATTTATCCAATAAGGAAAGTGAAGTTCAAGGAACTTGCTTAAGGTCACTCGTAGCTGGCAGTGAAGCCAGGACCTAAGCCTGGGAAATCTGATGCCAAAGCTTGGGATGGAGGGGGCCCGAGTCTGGAGTTGGGGGCCGTGAGGGCATTCTGGTTGTGACCCATCTACAAGGCACAAGGAATGGAGCTGCGGTCCTGCCCAGCCTGCCTTTGCAGGTGGGCTGGTGTCAGCCAGGGTCATTGCCACTGTTCTGTCTTCAGGAACTCACATTCAAGGGCAGACCAGACGCTGGGCCCTGAGAGGCTGGTTCTTGCCTGCCAGGTGACGCAGAGAGGAGAGCTACCCCGCTAGGACTCCTCAGGCTTCCTCAGGGAGGAAGTGGTGGCCCCTGGCAGGGATGACAGATAGCAAGGTCATCACCTACCGTCACGCCACTGCCACTCTGTTGCCTCCTTCAGCCAGGGGCAGGACCCTGAGGAGAGGAGAGGATGGCAGCCAGAAGCCCAGCTGGAGAAGGGGGAGTCTGGCGAGGAAGGCTGTCTTGATTTGGTTTTGCAGGGGGAGGGTGCAGGACATGGAGACCAAGGAGGTGGCTTCGAGGGGGATCTGCTGACAGCTGGCAGCCAGTCTTTGTGCTTAAGGAGCACAGACCCTCTCTGTGGGACACATGTGCCCCCTAGTGGGGATTACAACCATAGGGGCTAAGAAAATTTAAACCAAAAAAATTTGCTAACAGACTCGGCCTATGAGCCTGGGTAGGAGAGGCCAATCCTGTCCCTAAGTGAACACACACACACACACACACACACACAGATAATTCACACACATGTTCACACATACACATATACACAGTCACACACATACACACATTCACACAGATATATACACACACATACACATTCACACACACATACATATTCACAAAGACATACATATTTGCACATGCACAGATGTACATATACACAGACGCAGACACATAACACATACACATTCACACACAGATACACACACATACACCCATATGCATACACTTACACATGCATACACATACATTCACACACACACAGACATATACACATACAGACATACACAGATACACATACACATGTATATGCACACACCTACACATATGCACACACAGACACACACAGACATACACATACAGACACACATATACTTAATATATACAGAGGCAGAAGCCATTTTGAAGTAAGCATTAAAATAATGCGTTCATTTGGTCATTTATTTAACAAGCATGCTCCGGGAACCTGCAATGTACAAACCCTGTGTCAGCTGTTGGGAGTGACACAGTGAGGAGAGACAGACTCTGTCCTGCTGGTTAGTCCTATAGGAAGGCCCCAGCCTAGGTGGCCTAGTTCTGCCAGCCCAACCCTGCCTGTCCCTGTGACCTTTTGTACTCTGGACCTTTTGGTTTCCCCATTTGATAAACATTTGTCAAGCCCCAGTGGGCTGGGGTGAGGATGTGAAGTACTAATGATCTCCTCCGGAAAATAACTGTTTTGTAAAATGAAGGGGATGGACCAGAAGCTCTCTGGGGGCCCCACCAACTTTCCTAATCGAAAGTGACTATAATGAACTGTGTCTGGAGGTGCTGTGTGCCAAGCCCTGTGGATCCAGAAATGGATTAAGACCTTCTGCCACTTAACAACCAGAAAACCGGGCAAAATATAAGAAACAGACACTTGACAACAGGCAGCACACACGGACAGTGACCCCATGACTGCCTGGAACCAGGTCCCTGACTACAGTTTGGGGAGGGAAACCCAAGTGGACCACAGTGGCTTTGCTACGGTGAGAAGACAGAATCAGAGGTCAAGATGGTGTGAGATTCATCAGGACATACACACAGATCAATGGAATCCAGAAACAGATGCAGCAAAGGTAATCCAATGGAGAAAGAAAGGTCCTTTCAACAGGATACGAAAAGCACTAACCAGAAAAGGAAAATCAATGCATTGGACCTCATCAAAATGAAACCTCTGCACTTGGAAAGACTGGGAGTAAATATTTGCCAAACAAAACTCTGAGAAAGGACTTGTATCCAGAATACTTAAAGACCTTTTACAGTTTGATAATAAGACGGCCCAATAAAACAGTGGGGAAAGGTTTTAATATACACTACAACAAAACATACATACAGCAAATACATCGAAAGATGCTCAACATGTGGCCAGGCGCAGTGGCTCACGCCTGTAATCCCAGCACTTTGGGAAAGAAAGATGTCAATATGCAAATCAGAAGCCCAATGAGATACCACTGCATGCCCACCAGAGTAATTAAAGCTGAAGCCTGACCATAATAAGTACTGTCCAAGATGTGACCCTGTCGTATATCATATACTGCTGGGGACTGGTGAAGTGTTACAACCACCTGGGAAACCAGTGTGGCAGTTTCTTACAAAGTTATCTCAGAGGAATGAAAACGTACATCCACAAAAAAGACTACAGAAATGTCCACAGCAGCTTTATTAGTAACAGCTCCAAACTGGAAATAACCCAAATATTCCTCAACATGTGAGCAGATAAACAAACTGGGATATATTTATAGAATTAATACTCAGCAATGAAAAGGAAACGAACAACTGATGCAAAAGACATGGGTAAATTGAGAGAAGCCAGACACAAAATGCTACCTGCTGTGTGATTACATCTGCATGGAATTCTAGAGCAGGCAGAACCAACTGATAGTGACAGAAGGCATCTGTGGTTGACTGGGACCAGGGTTAGATATGGGGGTTGACTGCAAGGGTAAGAAGTTGTTTTTTGTTCTTTGTTTTTTTTTGAGACAGAGTTTCACTCTTGTCACCCAGGCTGGAATGCCACCGCACGATCTCAGCTCACTGCAACTTCTGCCTCCTGAGTTTGAGTGATTCTTCTGCCTCAGCCTCCTGAGTAGCCGGGATTACAGGTGCCCACAACCACACCTGGCTAATTTTTTGTATTTTTAGTAGAGACAGGGTTTTGCCATGTTGGCCAAGTTGGTCTCAAACTCCTGACCTCAGGTGATCCACCTGCATTGGATTCCCATAGTGCTGGGATTACGGGCAGGAGCCACCAGCCCTGCCTAAGAAGGAGATCTTGTGGTGACAAAAATGTTCTAAATCTTAACTGGGATTGTGGTTACATGGGTATATACACTTCCTGGACTACTGAACCATACACTGTAAATGGTTACACTGCATTATATGTAAATTACACCAGAATAAAGATGACATAGAGAGTTAGAAACAAGAATGAAGACTGATACTTGTTTTGCTCACCATCTAGCAGAAAAGCCAGACATATAAATAATCATAAAAGAGTGAGATGTGTTCCAAGTATGTTGAAATAACACAAACTCCCATTTATTCGGTGCTTACCTTGCACCAGGCACTGTGCTAAGTGCTCTGAAGCACTGACTTAACGACCTCCAGTGAGGTTTGGCTCCTCCTCCTCTTCCTCCTCCTCCGATGAGAAAACGAGACTCAGAAATGAGGTGACCTTTGCCAAGGTTACTCAGCTAGAATCAGTAGAGCTGGGATTTTCCTCCAGGTCATCCTGGATTGCAGAAAATGTGCTAATCCACCTGCCAGCAGAAAGGTGCCACGAGGAAACAGCTCGGGAATTGTTGCAGCATCTCAGTCAAGACTTCGCAGAGGAGGTATTTAAGTACCAGCTGGAATCTGCTGAGCAGGGAAGATGCAGGGAAGGGGCTTTCAAGGCAAAAGGAATAAACACTATCACAAGCTAAAGGTTATGCAACAGCTGTGAGAAGGCAGGGCTTTCTGGGCCTGGAGAGACATGTCCGGGAAATGACAGAAGAGATCCACGGAACATTACATCATCTTCAAATTCATTTATTTTTATTTAAAAAAAATCAATTTTTGAGTAATAATCTAGAGGCAGTGACTCTTTCAAGCAGGGACGTCAAATGCATTGCTTTTCTTCCTGGACACTGCTGGCGAGCACAGATGATCCACAATTCCAAGGTCATCTATTCTCAATGCATAGGGTCTGTGTCAGGTTTCTCCTCCTCCAGAAAGTTAAAGCTAAGTTAAACTTAATGCAGTGATCCCAGTTTTATGTTTCATTTTAATATTTTTACTTTTCTTCCATCTGCCTGGTCATCTGCATGATCCCAGATATCTGAACAAGATCTGTGACCCTATTTCACAGTCCCAAGAACTCTCAGGAAAAAAATCCTCTACGTTTTCATGATGGGCTTTCTAGGGGGATGAATTAAAATCTCTGGAGTTAAGCAAAAATATTCCACTGTCATAGTGTAATTTTTGTAGGAAACAGGGCATGGTGGCTGAGACCATGGGCTTTTAGGCTGGATTGAGTTCAGGTCTCAGTGCCTTCACCTGTGAATTCCTTTAACATTTCTGTACCTTGGCTTCCTCAGCTGCGAAATGGGTGGTTGGGTAGGGGGGATAATGACAGGGCTGTCATGAGAATCAGATGAGACAGTGAATCAAAAGGTGTTTCGAGAGTACCTGGCACGGAGTAAACACTTGGTATAGGCAGCTGCTATTATTTCAGAAAGGAAGGTTGCATGCAGCAGCTCATTTGCTGTCTTCTGCCATGATCCATTCTTCTGGGAAGAATTATTTTAAAAGATATCATTTAGGATGATTTGACTGAAACAGAACACCCAAATTAAAATGACTTAATTTCTTTTTAGAATCTCACATTTTGTAATTCACTTAAACTGAGATGCCATTGCTTGTAAGACATATCCTGCGTTTAAGAATATAAAAATGCAGCTGGACATGGTGGCTCATGCCTGTGATCACTTTGAGGGGCTGAGGTGGGTGGGTTACCTGAGGTCAGGAGCTTGAGACCAGCCTGGCCAAGATGACCAAACCCCCGTCTCTACTAAATATACAAAAATTAGCTGGGTGTGGTGGTGCACACCTGTAATCCCAGCTACTAGGCTGAGGCAGGAGAATCACATGAACCCAGGAGGTGGAGGTTGCAGTGAGCTGAGATCATGCCACTGCATTCCAACGACAAAAGCAAATCTCTGTCTCAAAAAAAAAAAAAAAATATATATATATATATACACACACACATACATATATATCTATATCTGTACAGACATGTCTCTGAATCAAAACAAAAGGTCTGAATTGTGGGGGTGTTGAGACTGGCGGCTTCCGCAATACTGAGGACTCATGTTATTTCTTCTCTCTACTCTGCCATCGCAGTCCTTCGGCTCCTGCTTAACGGAAGCCTCACAGATGCAAGACGGCTCCAGCAGGCCCAGCATCACTTCTTCACAGTGTCCCTAAGCCAGAAGAGAGGCTGTTGTTTTTAAAAGCAGGAAAACCTTCCTAAACTTGGCGAGAATTGCATCGCAGACTCTTTCCCAAAACAACGTCCAGCAAAGGAAATAGACTCACCATGTCTGGTACAGATGAATCAAGATTTGCCCCTGGGGCTAGGGAGGGGCTTGCCCCTGCTGAAGAGGACCCTCACCCAGCAGCTGAAGAGACCGTAGGCTCATCAGCTGGAGGAAGAGACTGGCCACTAACAGTGCCTGCCATACACACGTGCTTCCTTGATATTCCTGCTGCCCGCTGTTCCAGATGTAAGCAGTCAGCTGCTTGGGATACTACCTACCTTCGTCTGTGTTCTTATTAATAAAATTAAGGATTCTGTTCCAGGTTGAGAAATAATCTCAATATTCTAAAGACTCTGTTTGCTTTATTTTTATGGTTTTTTCTTTTTTGAGACAAGGTCTTGCTCTGTTACCCTTGCTCAAGGTGACAGAGCAAGAGTGACAGAGAAAGACTTTCTCTCAAAAAAAAAGAGGCTTGTCATGGCTCACTGCACAGCCTCAATCTCCCAATCCTCCCACCTCAGCCTCCTGTCCAGCTGGGACTACAGGCATGTGCCACAACACCCAGCTATTTTATTTTTTTAATTTTTTTTGTAGAGATGGGAATCTCCCTATGTTGCTCAGGCTGGTCTTGAACTCCTGGGCTCAAGTGATCCTCCTGCCTTGGCTAACCAAAGTGTTGGGATTTTGGGCCTGTGCCACTGTGACCAGCCCAAAGACCCTGTTTTCTATTACTGTGAGCTTCAGACACCATGTCTTCAACCCTGTCAGTGACTGCCCCAACACAGTGGGCCCGCTGGCCAGATTTTCCCTTTGCACTTAGAGCCTGTGTCCCTGAACAGCTCTGGGGACTTCTGCCTTCCTGCTTGTAAAGGGTTACTAGACTGTGACTCTTTCCATGTCAATAAACAGAGGTCTGCACTAGCCTTGTATAATGGCTCTATAATAATTTTATAGTAGGTAAAACTCAGATGTCCTAGCTCTCACGAGCAGTGAGTGCAAATGAGATCACAGTAACAACACTTCAGTCTCAACAGCTCAGCCCGTGCCAGGTCATTCAGGAATTCTGAGCATTCTCTGAAGTTTCCCCAGTTATTTTTCGGTTGGCTGTGCAGTTACTTAACGTGTGCTCAGGTACAAGGCCTCTCACTGTATTTCACTCCAGCCTCTTGGCCACTGCCCGGCTGCCCTGGCATCGCCATCTGCCATGAGCCTACTGCTGGGGAAGTGGTGTCCAGTCAGGTATGAAAGCGATTTGGTGGCCCGTGGCAAGTGAAGAATGTGAAGAATTGCCCTCACCATACACTGGGTGGCATCCTGGCCCAATATAGCCCCGCTAGAGCCCTGAGCCTCTGTCTTCCACACATCAGCCCTGCAGCCTCCCCTCCTCACTCTTCCTGCCACAAAGTGGCTCCAGTGGCAGAGCAGGTGCTCATCGTTCCTCCTTTCAACTTCATTTCTGATTTTGTTCCCAACCACCCCTACAAACACATGAAAATCTTCTTCCTTCTCCCTTCCTCTTCCAAAACAAAAGTCCTTATACATAAGATCACCTTATTCATTAGTAGTAAAAGCGTGAAATCTACAGGCTGGGAGCAAACCCTGACCCTGCCAGTTACTGGTTATGTGAATTTGGGCAAGTTACGAAATTTCCCAGTGCTTCCGTTTCCTCATCTGTGAAATGGGGGCAGTGATAGTGTTATCAGAGAGGGGTCCTGATCGAGACCCCAAAAGAGGGTTCTTGGATCTTGAGCAAGAAAGAATTTGGGGCGAGTCCATAAAGTGAAAGCAAGTTTATTAGAAAAGCAATGGAATAAAAGAATGGCCACTTGGCTGGGCGGAGTGGCTAAGCCTCTAATCCCAGCACTTCGGGAGGCCCAGGCAGGCAGATCACGAGGTCAGGGGTTTGAGACCAGTCTAGCCAACATGGTGAAACCCCATCTCTACTAAAAATATAAAAAATAACCGGGAGTGGTGGTGCACACCTGTAATCCCAGCTACTTGGGAGGCTAAAGAATTGGTTGAACCCAGGAGGTGGAGGTTTGCGGTGAGCCGAGAAAGCACCACTGCACTCCAGCCTGGGCTACAGAGGGAGACTCCATCTCAAAAACAAACAAATAAATAAAAATAACAAGAGACTTCTGCCCTTGAAGAGCTTACACTCAAATGAAAGGAGGTAAACATAAGCAAAGGTGGTGATTTTTTTTTTTTTTTTTTTTTAAGACAGAGTTTCACTTGTTACCCAGGCTGGAGTGCAATGGCGCGATCTCGACTCACCGCAACCTCTGCCTCCTGGGTTCAGGCAATTCTCCTGCCTCAGCCTTCTGAGTAGCTGGGATTACAGGCACATGCCACCATGCCCAGCTAATTTTTTATATTTTTAGTAGAGACGGGGTTTCACCGTGTTGACCAGGATGGTCTCGATCTCTTGACCTCGTGATCCACCCGCCTCAGCCTCCCAAAGTGCTGGGATTACAGGCATGAGCCACCGTGCCCGGCCACAGAGGTGGTGATTTGAAGATAAGTATCTGCAACATATTACCACCTGCAGGACAATATAATCCACACCAAAGGCCATAGAAATGGGTGGATGGGAATGGGGAGACTGGAATGCATTAGAGGTTCTTGGTCTTGCAAATTTAAAATAACTTCCAAATAGGGGCAAATTCTGGCCCTGGTTGTTGTCGTTTTTGCCTTATTTTTATTTAAAAAATGAAGCCAGACTGGGTGCAGTGACTTACCTTTGTAATCCCAGCACTTTGGGAGGCCAAAAACAGGAGGGCTGCTTGAGGCCAGGAGTTTGAGACCAACCCAGGCAACGGAGTGTGAGACCTACGTCATCTCTACGAAATAAAAATAATATCAGCCGGGCGTGGTGACGCTCGCCTGTCGTCCCAGCCATTCGAGAGGCTGAGGCGGGAGGATCACTTGAGCCCAGGAGGTCGAGGCTGCAACGAGCTATGATTGCACCACTGCACTCCAGCCTGGGTGCCGGGGTGAAAACCCTGTCTCAAAAACAAACCAAAAAACCCCAGTAACAAACAAAAAAATGAAGCCAGGGTGGTTGCCTGGAAAATAACACTCAGAAGAGCGGTGGATGTTACATCATTCTCCGTTCTTTTCGAAATTCCACTTGTGACACTTGTCAGTTTTCCTTTCTCGGAATAAAAAGCACGCTCGCCCCGGGCAGCTGCGGAGTCCGAGCCCCGTCGCTCTCGAGCGCCCCCTGCCGTCTGCGCCTGGGCCTCACCCCAATCTTAAAAACACCTGAGCTGGAGGTTGCACGATTTCCTTGGAATCTCTCTTCTTCACTATCCCAATGAACCACCCCAAATGCCCCTACCCTCCCTCAAACAAAATCCGCAAAGCAATTAAAAAAAAAAGGTATTCGGTAAAGCCCTGGTTTCCTCATCCGTCCCTGCCCCCTCGAACTTTCTGTGCTTCCCGTCTCGGCCAGGGACAACCTGTGCTGAAGCTCAACGACTTTATGGTAGCAGGGACCCTCCAGCTTCGTTTTCTCACAGCCGTGGTTCTTCACAGGCTTGGTTCCCCACCCCGACCCTCCACTGCAGCTGGAGGCGACCACCATCTTACAACCAGTTCTACAGTCGCGCTGAGGACGCGGCCGGCCCCCAGCGACCGCGGTTTTAAACTACATTTCCCTTCAGCCCTTTCTCAACATCGCGAGAGTTCCGGAAAGATTGTCGGGAAGACTTGCACGCAGGCGCGGTTTTGCATTCTTTTCGCTGTCGGCCGCGTGGCTGAAAGTCATGGCTGGTTCCGTTGGTGTTGAGCATGGCCAACAGCCTCAGGCATTTGTCATGGTAAGGCTGCCTGAGTAGAAAAATGGGGTCTTCCTTGACACGACACTAACACACTTGGTCTCCCTTCCTTAGAGACGAAGTGGTGATGATAAGCTCGGTTTCTCCGTCATAGAGTGGGTGGGAGGGTTAACAAGTACTGGATGAGAAAATGCTTTAAAGGCGGCGAGAAAATGTTATTATGTGAAGGGAGAGAGCTCAAGCCCGTCCTCGGCGTTGCAGGGCTGGCTTCTGCCGGGGGAGAGGTTCTAACAACCTGGGCAGCCCCGTGGCCCTCAGCCGCACGTGTGCTGAGCGTGGGCGCCCGGGGGTCTTCGGTGTCCGCGTACAGGCAAACTTTGACGGTTGTGGTTCTCAATTCAGCATCAGCAGTGTTAACGTGTGAAGACGTGATTCCACTTGGAGTGCCTTGAGGACAGCCCCGATCGGTAGTTTATATTTAACTTTACAGATAGGATTGCAGACTTATTCTTGAAACCCTTGGTTTTAACACGAGCCTTTCTTACTTCCTCAGAAGCCTTTCTTTGGCATCTGCAGATACGGTGAAAAGCAGAGTTCCAGGTTGAAGGTTCACAGTAATGGATGGAGCTCTAACATGAGTTAGAATGGTGCAGGCCGGGCCCGAGTGGTCGCCAGAAATGAGAAAGCAGAGTTGGTCCCATCACATACATTCATCTCCTGCTTTATTCTGAAGTTCGAATGTGAGAATACGTGTTGACGTACAAGCCAGCTATGGTAAGAAATTACGCAGAATTCAGAATGCTAATTATTTTAATGATAAAAATGAGGGTCTCTGCCCGAGTAATTTGGGGCCACTAGGTGTCACTGTCGCCAACGTGGATCCTTGTCAGGGCATTCAAGGGTGAAAGAGAGACGTGGAAAATGCATTTTGGATCGCTGGGATTTAGGAATGTTTGTTATTGGCTGAGCTGAGGATGATTTAAAGTTATCCCTGTCTGAAGTGACATCTTTTGTGAGGAGATATGACTTGCTGAGGCTCAGCCTTTTAATATAAGTCTGGAGAATAAACCTTAAGGGGGTTTCTGTTAGAATGAAGCCTGTTATCCTTCTCTTAGATTAAAGGTGTTGGCTGTGGTCTTGAAAACAGTCATTCGAAAACTCATCACCTAAAGATGTTGAGTGTAAGGATCTTCATGATGAAATTTCTGTAAATGGTAAGATACTTATTTCTTTCATGAAATTGAATAGCTGATGGTCTCCTTTAAGTATTGGTCTTTAGTTTTGGAGATATGTGGCTCCTCCAGAGTTATGATTGCACAGATAATGGAAGTAGTGTGGAAATCCTTTTGCTAGGGTCCTTGGCAAGCACTCTCACAAATAGTATTTGTAATAACAATCCCACATGAGGTAAATTTTTTCCTTCATTGTGCTGCTGAGTAAGTAAAAGTGAGGCTTAGAGAGTTCTCTTTCCCAAAGTAAAACAAGCAGTTACTGAGTTAGATTAGACCAGTGGTTCTCAACTGGGGAGAGAGGGTGTTCCTGGCATCTGGTGAATGCTACTATTAATAAATATCCTGGCCGGGCACAGTGAATCGCCTGAGGTCAGGAGTTCGAGACCAGCCTGGCCAACATGGTGAAACCTCGTCTCTACTAAATATACAAAAATTAGCTGGGTGCGGTGGCGGGCACATGTAATCCCAGGTACTCAGGAGACTGAGGCAGGAAAATCACTTGAACCCAGGAGGCAGAGGTTGTAGTGAGCTGAGATCGACCCATTGTACTCAGGGTTAGTGATTTCTAAACTTAACTATGTCAGAGCCACCCCAAAAGTGTTAAAACATACACATTTCCTGGGCCTCACCTCTAGGCATGGGTGAGAATGGCTCTGGAGTGGAGTCGAGGAATCATGTGGCCAGTCCAAGAGCAAATGGGTGGTAGTAACTCGATCAGGGTCTTCAATCTATTGGCCTCCCTGTGCCACATTGGAAGAATTGTCTTGGGCTACACATAAAATACACTGACACTAATGATAGCTGATGGGCTAGAAGAAAAAAAATCTCACAGCGTTTTAAGAAAGTTTATAAATTTGTGTTGGACTGCATTCAAAGTCATCCTGGGCCACATGCAGGCTATGGGTTAGACAAACTTGAATTAGGTGATCAGATTTGTTTTTAGCACAAGGATTTTATTATAGTGAGATTATAGTGCTGGCTATTTTTAGGTAGCTCTGGAGTGGATCTCTAATCCCCTGTCTTAAGACACTGAGCCATGTGCTTGCTGCTTGCTGTGCAGGGCAGTTTTACATACACAGTTGGATGAAATGGATATGGCCTGTGTGACGTCGCTTCTTGGCAGCAGGTACTGTTTGCGTAGCTTGTCTTGAATAAGCTCAAATGATGAGTGGCCTGCACTGTAGCAGGCATTACACTGACCATCTAGAGAGACACTGGAATGGATGCCCCTACTCAGCTACCAGACACTGTTGAGAGGGAGCCGGTCTATCAAAGGGCAGGAACTGCCAGTGTGCCAGATCTGGACACTGGGTGCATCAACCAGACACTAGCTATGCCCTTGAGAGAAAACATAGTCTAATAAGGCAGACAAGATCAGCTAAGAGTTCACATGACGGGTTGGGCACGGAGGCTCATGCCTGTATTCCCAGCACTTTACGAGGCTGAAGCGGGCAAATTGCTTGATGCCAAGAGTTCAAGACCAGCCTGGTCAACATGGTGGGACCCTGTCACTACTAAAAATACAAAAACTAGCTTGGCGTGGTGGTGCACCCCTGTAATCCCTGCTGCTTGGGAGGCTAAAGCACGAGAATCACTTGAACCTGGGAAGTGGAGGTGGTTATAGTAAGCTGAGATCACACCACTGCACTCCAACCCGGGTGACAGAATGAGATTTGTCTTAAGAGTTTGTGTGAGGAAAATGAACAGTTTGATAGGAAAAAAGTAGTTTGCATGTGCTGTGGCAGTTAGTGCTGTGGGCCAGCAGGTGGGTGGGAGCTGAGTCTGTGATGACGTCGAGTTCTCCCTGTCCGAAGGCAAAGAAAGGCCTTTCTATGTGGAATTTGAATGTCTGAAACTCAGTTTCTCAAGTTTGCCTTACAGAAAATTTAAGAAAGCTGCTTGAGAGTTACTCTGTGTGTATCTTCTTAATTAGTTTTTTTTCTTAATTTCTCTTCCTTCCCAGGTGTAGTCAGCCTCAGTTTCCAAGTCTGGAAAAGGATCCTCTAGTAGCCACATTGTGGACGCTGCCCTGAACCAGGACCTGACCTGGACCCAAAGTACCACGTCTTTAATGCATGTAAGTAGATGAACCGTTAAACAGGCTTGGTGTGGGGGAGTGCTCATCTTTTTTGCTTTCCCTGCTCTGGACTTAAAGCAGTGTATGCCAAGGGGCGGGGAGGCTTTAGTAGTGTTTTGTTGCTAGGTGTCTGCAATAAGAGAGAAAACTGGACTGCTTTGCTGGAAGCAAGTGAAATGATTGCTTTCCTGTTTGTAAGCTTTATGTTTTTACATCTTTTCATATCCCTAAGAGGTCCTACAAGCCTATGGTGGTTAGTTATCCCTGTCTGAAAACCTTGACTGAGAGAAACAATCTATTCTTGAGACTTAAGGGTTTGGTTCTGTGGTTTGTTTGTCTCCCCTCCACCTTTTTTGTTTTCAGCATTTCCTGCTAAGAGCCCAGTTGAGAGCATCATCCCCCTAAAACAGGAAAACCAAATGTGTGGTTTGCCTCACTTTGCTCTAGCTCCTTGATTATGGCTCTGAGGGTACAGGCTGTATGAGGGGGAAGGAATGGCCAAGTGGCCAGGATTTGGTTTATGCTCTTACTGTGGAATGAAAGTGCTTGTTACGTATTTCAAGCAAATGAATGCACTCTCAGAAACAGATTGGAATGTGGGATGTATGGCAGCTTGTGGCCATGAGAATGGTCCATGACTGACCTGGCCTCTGCTCCAGGGTCCTGACATTCGGGCGAAACCACAGCTGTTTGGTTTCCAGGTGCTTTGTTTAAGGACACCAGGGAGGTCTCCTAAGTTTGCAGCTTAGATCCTGTCTGAATGCCACTACTGGCATGTGAGCAAGAAAGAAGCAAAGTGGCGCTGGAGGCGGGGGGCCTGGCTTTGTTCCCATTGGAATGCCAGGCTGGAAGTGCACAAAGACTGCCTTTGTTTTCTGTCGAAATTGGGAGGTGTGTGCACACTCTTTGTTTTTAAGGTTGCATTTTTGCTAGACATCAAAGAAGCGATATTTTGGGTGAAATTTAATGAACCTAAAAAGTGCCCCCAGTAATTTACAGCCTGCAAGTAAAACAGTGGAAAGGGCAGGTTATCAAGTGGTTATGGTCTGCTGAGTGGATTTGGCTACAGAACTCTCAGGAAACCATAAGATTTGACTTGAAATGTTTCTATCCAGAGGGAGTGCTTTCTAATAGTTCTTTACTGGTCTCTTACCAGAAACTGCTCCCTCAGAGGTACCATCTGCCTAAAATTAGTCATCCTGGGTCCCCACCAGCCTGCACAGAAATGATGTCAGAGTGCCCCGTTATGTTCCCCCGTGCACACATGCGTGATGGTGGTGAGAATGAGTGCTCTTAGGCTGATTGCCTTTTCCTCCTGGATTAGTTGTTATATAGCATTCAGTTTTGAGTCACTTCCTTAGCTGTTACTTCACATTATTCTCTTGTTTTACAGGTTAGCTCCCAGCGATGCCAGATGGGATCAGCACAGCCCTGCCTCTGTGGCTAATTGTTCCTCTAAAGTAATTGCCATGCGTTCTTTGGGCTTCATCTTTAAAGGAATGAAGTGACTAAGATTATTCTGGAAAACCTTTTGGCAGTTAGTGAAATTAGAGTACAACTAAGTACATTTTCAGACCCCCACTATGGATGACCTGGGTATACTCTCACAAATCGATGGGACAACCTGTAATCCCAGCACTTTGGGAGGCCGAGGCGGGTGGATCACGAGGTAAGAGATCTGGTCAACAAGGTGAAACCCCGTCTCTACTAAAAATATAAAAAATTAGCTGGGCATAGTGGTGCATGCCTGTAATCCCAGCTACTCAGGAGGCTGAGGCAGGAGAATTGCCTGAACCCAGGAGGCAGAGGTTGCGGTGAGCCGAGATCGCGCCATTGCACTCCAACCTGGGTAACAAGAGTGAAACTCCGTCTTAAAAAAAAAAAACTGAAGTTAACATGATTCTACTCTGTCAGAGGACCTAAGGGGAAACTGATGAGTTTCAGAGAGTAATGCTTAACCCCAGTATACAGGATGCCAGCTTGTGTTTTCTCTTTTTAGTTATCCACTAAATTGATTTTCTGATCTGCTAATGGGTTGCCACCCACTGCTTTAGCACTTTTACTTCAAATCAATAAAGGATTGATCAGAGTTCTCCTGGTGCCTCCACAGAGTGGCTTCCAGGAACAGATAATGGTTTGCATAGAATATCAGTGGTTTTGTTTCAAATAGTGGTCAGAAAATATCTAGTGTTGGCTTACTAAGATAATCAGGTTCCTTTTTCTTTTTAATTAAATTTTTTTTGAATTTTTTGAGACTATTTATTTATTGAGACAGTCTTTCTCTGTCACCCAGGCTGGGAGTGTAGTGATATGATCTCTGCAACCTCTATTTCCCAGGTTCAAGTGATTCTTGTGCCTCAGCGTCCCGAGTAACTGGGACTATAGGCGCACACCACCATACCTGGTTAATTTTTTGTTGTTTTAGTAGAGACAGGGTTTTACCATGTTGCCCAGGCTGGTCTTGAACTCCTGAGCTCAGACAATCTGCCCACCTCAGCCTCCACAAATGCTAGGATTACAGGTGTGAGCCACCACACCCAGCCATTTTTCCTTTTTAAAAATTTTAAAGTTGGGGGTCTTACTCCATTACCTGGCTGGTCTCGAACTCCTGGACTCCAGCGATCCTCTGGCTCCAAGCCCACTACCAGCCTCAAGCTTCTTTACTAAAAGATCACTACATAAGATACTCGGATGGACTGTGACCGTTAAGGGCTGCCTTATGTATCCCACATTTGACCACATTCCTTCCAAACCAAGTAAACCCAAAGGAATATGACGGCTATCATGGGGACCAAGGAGGAACTGTTTAAGATTGCCAGGGTCAAGTGAGCTGAGAGGCTTAGTGCTGGGGCCAGCAGCTCTGAAATGTCTCTTAATTCCTGCTGTCCAGGCAGCAGAATGCTATGGTTTCTTCCAAGTAGGTGCTTTGGCAATTAGAGCCCAAATGTCTATTCTGTTGATCAGAGGTCTCTGGATTTCTGAAGTGTGTTCTGTTTCTGGTGACTGAGTTAATCCCCATCCCTCTTGTAAAGTGTGTTGATAGAATCAGCCTTTCAACGCTACAGAGCCAGACTGTGCCCTAAATTGACCGACATGATGGATGTTGCCTTGGGAAGTCTCTTGCCAGCTGTCCCTGTGAAGACACTCCCGCTGCCTTGCACACTGAAGCATCTCAAACTGCAAAGCCATTTAGTCATCAGGACGAACAGGACTAAACCCAGGGCTTGGTTAAGTGCTGTGTGGTAACTTGTTTGGATGAGACTTCTTTAAAACCACTCACAATAAAATTATGAAACTACTGTCAGCTAAGTTCAAATGTACTGAAGCCATGATATGAGGATGAGGGTTTATTAGCTGGTAGCATCGTCATCCTGTTGGTGATAATGTTTCTAATGGGGCTTCCTCCCTCAGTGGCAGGCAGGCTCCCAAGCAACTAACCCCCATCAAGTGCCAGACCCCTCCAGAGTTCTTGAATTCTGAGTGATGTCCATACCAAAACACCCTGCATTTTATATGATTTCTCTACCCAGCTAAAAAAAAGACAAAATGGTGATCCATCGTGTACACAGGTACCTAGTCTCCAGTTACATTCTGCCTTTTGTTCTCCCACTTGATTATGGAGCAGAGGTAAGTCTAGCGTGTTTTCAGAAAGGCTCTTAAAAGGTGTCCTGGAGTCCTTGAATCCCTTTAGCCTCAGGTAGGATGCCCCACCGGAGGATCTGAGCTGCAGCGGGTGCCTTTGCTTCTTGCCTGGACTGCTGTTTATCTTGAGCACTCCACCGACATTTCCTAAAGTTGCTCGGTGCAAATCCAGCAAAACTGTCTTCCCTTGGCCAAAATTGAGATGTATTGTTTTAGATGCATAGAGGAGTTTCCTTGGGTGAGCCAAGGACAAGCTGGGGTATCCTGCACTGAACAGGTTTCCATGATTGTCAATTCACCCGAGTGCCTTCTGTTGGAAAGAAGGGAAGGTGAAGCCTCTCAAGATTGAGAAGTTAAGAAAAAGGCTTTAGGCCACTTGAGAGGATCAGGGCCACAGTTCTAAGAGGCAAAGGCTCAGTACCTTGGTGTCAGCGCTGATACAGCCGAAGGATGCCAGCCTGGTGTAGATCCCTCCACAGGGCGGCCTCCAGGGACAGATCGTGGTTTGCGTAGAATATCAATGGCTTCTTTTTCCGCTCAAAGTAGTGGTCAGAAAATTTCCAGTAGTTGCTTGTGATGAATCCATAGGCACTGACCTGGGCAAGGGTAGTCATTGGGTTAGTATTTATTGAGCGTCTACTGTGTATAAACAGACTCGTGTGATGTGACATGACTTTAGAAAGGTGTCCTCCTGCTAAGGTGAGGAGGTAGGAAGTGGTCTAGGGCTTATTCCCACATAGCAAATGGGGAGATAGATTCAGGGGTGACTCACTGTCCCCACTTGCACAGCCGGTGATTGGCAGCTGCATTTGGAACTTGAGGCCCATTACTACTCTCCCCATCCTAATTGGGGATTGCAGTTAAGACACTCCTGCATTTTTTGAGATGGAGTCTCGCTGTTGCCCAGACTGGAGTGCAGTGGTGCAATCTTCGCTCACTGTAACCTCTGCCTCCCAGGTTCAAGTGATTCTCCTGCCTCAGCCTCCTGTGAGCTGGGATTACAGGCATGCACCACCACGCCTGGGTAAATTTGTATTTTTAGTAGAGCCGGTTTCACCGTGTTTGCCAGGCTGGTCTTGAACTCCTGACCTCAGGCGATCCACCCACCTCCACCTCCGCCTCCCAAAAGTGCTGGAATTATAGGCATGAACCACCACGCCCTACTACTCTTGTATTAAAATAGGAAGAGGTCTAGTGTGGTGGCTCATGCCTGTAATCCCAACACTGGAAAGCTGAGGTGGCAGGATCACTTGAGCTTGGAAGTTTGAGACCAGCCTGGGCAACATGGTGAGCCCCTGTCCCTATGAAAAGTAAAAACTAGCTGACGGGCAGCTACTTGGGAAGCTGAGGTGGGAGGATCATCACACCATTGCACTTAAGCCTGGGTGACAGAGTGACACCCTGTCAAAAAAAAAAGGGAAAAGGTGTAGGCCTGAGTCATGGAGTGTCATTTGGCCTCCAGCTCTGCAATCCAGCTTTAGCATAGGTCACAACCTCTCCTCGAAAGCTGCTGCTCAGCCCCTGCCTCCACGAGGTTCACATGGGCATATCCCATCAGGAATGACAGGGTGATTTCAAAGTATTTGTGTGTGGGAGGCTAAATCTGCTGCCCCACCCCAGCCCTACGATGTCCCCATAGAAGAATGGCCCTGTTCGGCCCAGTGTGTTGAAGAGATTGGCTTTCAGAAGGGCAGTTAGATCACTTGAGCCTTAAATACCACATTGAGTGTCTGCCTTGGAGAAGAGCAAAGAAATAAGGAAGCCTGGGGCACATGTCCACAGCCAAGGCAAGGCTAGCCCAGGACCCATCCTTTTAAAGGCCCCCTGGGTGGCAGCAAGGAAGTGGGCAGCACCAGCACTCTTGGAGCTGGGGGTTCCACGAACAGAGGCCAGAGTCGCAGGTCTGAGGGTAAGGGATATCGGGGATCCTGTTGGGTTCTGTTAGCCTGTGTTCTGCTGCCGTAGGCTTCTGGAAGAGAAGGCCTCTTACCCGGTCACAAGTGTGCAAAGCTGTCAGCAGCATGAGAGCCCCAGTACTAGGCATATATAGGTCTCCAAAGTTTGTGTTTATCAACTTTGATTTCAAGAACCTGGAAGCAAAAAGAAGCATTTCAGCTCACTAGCTTGACGTCTGTATCATCACACTTCATAGCTACACATTCAGATAGGTGGGAAAACCTCAAAAACTCTGAGCCTTCTACTCCAGTCAATCCTTTATTTGGTCCAAATGCAAAGCTCTTTGAGACCTTAGGTAAGGTGGGGGTGAGAAAGAGGAAGCACAGGTGAAATCCTTCCCCCTTTCACCAACAGCCTGTTTTCACCTCAAGCTACTAAGTAACCACACTGCCAAGGGCATGGGTGGCCTGTAGCCCTTAACTGCAGTTTCTCTCTATCCCACAACTTGATTAAGTAGGAATCGTGTGAGGGGCAGGGAGCTCAGACCCTGTGACTGGACCCACTGGCGTGATGGATGCACCCACAGAGCCCAAGAGTGGGGCCAGGGTGTGGCCACGGGCTCTGCCCTCAGGCCTGAGTTCATGTCCAAACTTTGCCAGGCAAGTCCCCTGTCGTCTCTGAGCCTGTCTTCCTCTGTAGCATGAGACCAACTGGGGCTTCAGTTGCCTCCCCAGATCCACGCACCCCTCCAACTGCTCCCTGCCCTGGGATTCGAGCCTCTGGTCCACAGCAGGGTTTCTTAGTCACAGTGCTATTGATAATTGATATGGGGCAGGTGGTTCTTCGTTGCTGAGCAGGGATGTTCAGCAGCATCCCTGGCCTCTGCCCACTAGTGGTACTCACCCCACTACCCTGTGACAACTGATGCAATCCACATCGAGATCGCCTGGCGGGAGGGAGGGGAAGAAGGGGAGGGGGTGGAGGCTGTTCCCCGGGTTCCTCCCCGCACCGTGGTTGGCAGTGTTTGGGCCTGAAGGTGCTGATGCGCTGCTGCTGACAGCCCCACTGCTGCTGTGCACCTCATGGCCCCCAAGTCCCAGTCTGTGTCTTTGTGAGTAGTCCCTAGTAAATAAACCTCCTTGAGTTATCCTGGGTTTGTCTGTTTCCAGGTGATTCCAACCTGCATCACGCTCCGTCTATCAGCGTGCTAAATAAAACAGTAAATGAAGTGACAGAGCTTCACACATGGCACTCAGGACAGTGAAGCTCTGGTTATTGGTCAGTGCGTGGAGCTCATGGAAGGGCACTGCCTGGATGTGGGGTGGGTGTGTAAGGGGGAAGGAAGGGGAAGCTGTTCTTCCAGCCCCCCCCGCTCCGTACCTCTCTGTCAGGTAGCTGATGAAGTCCGGATGTAGCAGCTTGAATTTACTGGCAGAGGCTTCTGGTCCGAAATAGGTGTGAGGCCTAGGCCCCGTGATGGAAGTGGACAGAGCGCCCAAAGCCGTCGTATTGCAAGGGGGAGATGGAGGGGAGGGTCAGGGTGCCGGAGTAGCCACGGTACCCTGAGCGGTAGGTGCGGGGCTGGGAGTAGTAGCGGGAGAAGGGGGTGTAGAAGGTGGCAGGCAGTGAGGTGGGGACCACGTGCGGCTTCCCACTCACCAGGACCTCGATGGGCGGGGTGTAGGAGAGAGAGGAGGGGGGCGTGAACAGAGCGGGGGGAGTTGGGAAGGGGCAGTGAAACTGGGGTTGGTAGGGGGGTGGGGGAAGGAGAGGTAAGTAGAGCGAGTCAGGAGGGGGTGAGGGCTTCTGGGCGGGGCACGGACAGGGACAGGCAAAGCATGGGTTTTGGGGAAGTGGTGCTGTGGGGGGCTGGAAAAAGGGGGGCTCCTTCAGAAAGCGGGGCACATAGGGAGTGATATAGGATGGGATGTTCCAAGTTGGCCCAATATAGGAAGATGAGGTGGCGGGGCTGTGCAAGGGGGACCTGGGCACAGTGGGTGTTAAGGAAGGGTTTCTAGAGAGGGGTTTGAGACCAGACTGGGAGGGAGATTTGGAGGTGGGTGGAGTGGAGGTTTGGGCGGCCCCTCGGGGCACATGTTGCACTTGAGGACTAGGGTTCAGGGAGGAAGCCCGGGAAGGGGGCTGTGAGGGGTTTGGGGTGGGAGGGTGGGAGGGGGGCCGCAAGGAAGTGCCCCGAGTGGGGGAAGGGGCCAAGCCTCCAGAGCTCTCGTGGGGCTGCTGGCCTGGAGGGTTGACAATGTTGTTGGAACGGGACTGGGAGGGAGACTGGGTAGGGGACGGATTAGGGGTGTGGGAGGGGGAGCTCATTGGTGCTGGGGAGGTGTAGGTCCACCCGATGTCTCTGAGGCAGCCCCAGAGAGCCCAAGCCCAGCGTGTCACAAAGCCCAGCTCAGACCAGCAGTGGGAGAATTGTTACATCATCACTGGGGCGGGGCAGGGTGGGCCTGGCTTTAGAGCCCTTATCCATAAGGACCACCTGTAAAGCTGCTCTGTGGGGGATGGGCAAGATGCCCTCATGGAGACCCCTGACATAGGAGGGCTGGTTGTCTGGGCCACAGCAGCGGCCTCGATTTCTAGGGACCTGATCTCAGGGACAGAAAATTGTCTCAGAATCCCCAGGAGGAGGTTCAGATGAGGGTCAGCATGTGGCTCAAAAGAGCTGGCCCCAGGCCTGCTGTGCGGGAAGGTGGGAGAGAAGACAAAGGGCCTATTGTTTCTGCGTTTCAGGAGACTGGGCCTCAAGCCTGCTCTCCCGTTTCACAGGCAGCGCCCTGGGAAGGATGCCCACCAGGAGGAGTGGCACGGACTGGCCCTGACTCACAGTGTGCTCAGTGGGACACAGACCTGGCCCAGCCATCGACTTGGAGAGGCTGGGCTGGGCAGAGAGAGAGCAACCTGAAGCCGAGGAGCCTGGCACACTTGCCCCATTTAGAAAAGCTGCCTCTCCCACCCCCAGAGGGCTACTGGGGACTCAAAACGTCATCTGGGCTTTCCAGGGGGAGACAAAAAGTAGATTATCCCAGTGCTGAGTTATGTGAGTAATTGGGGATGATTGAATTCTTAGGACTTTTCTTGCTGCCCTTCACCTCCCTCCTCCTACCCCATCAGGGAGTTGACCACAGCACCCCTGCCCTTCTGGCATGCCCCACACCATCACTGCCCGGTGGCTCACCTGTCCCCTTTATCTAGGCCCTCAGGGACGGGCACGCCCAGAATGGCCGATCTCAGCATCACATAGTCGCGGATGTCTGAGGGGATGAAGATATATTGCAGGTCCTGTCAGAATAGAGACAAGGACCCCAGAGGGGAACCAGGCCAGGTTTAGCTCCTGCTCACTGCGGATGGCCCTCCATGCCCCTTGAGCCGACTGGAGAATTTCCCTTAAATGCCTTTCATTCCCATCTGGAGGTACTGTGCTGGTTTCAATGTAGGTCCATGAATCCTCTGATGCTCCTTCAGGAGGTGACACCTAATTGCCATCCCCTGGAGTATAGGCTGGACTTAGCACTCATGCACTTTTCTAATAGAGAGGAAAGTGGGCTGGGCATGATGGCTCACGCCTGTAATCCCAGCACTTTGGGAGGCCGAGATGGGCGGATCACTTGAGTTCAGGAGTTCGAAGACCAGCCTGGCAAACATGCTGAAACTCCTTCTCCACTAAAAATACAAAACTTAGCCAGGCGTGGTGGCACATGCCTGTAATCCCAACTACTCAGGAGACTGAGGCAGGAGAATCGCTCGAATCCAGGAGGCGGAGGTTGCAGTGAGTCCAGATCACGCCACTGCACTCCAGCCTGGGTGACAGAGTGAGACTTTGTCTCAAAAACAAAAAAAGGCCGGGTGAAGTGACTCACGCCTGTAATCCCAGCACTTTGGGAGATCAATGTGGGCAGATCACCTGAGGTAGAGAGTTCGAGACAAACCTGATCAACATGGTGAAACCCCATATCTACTAAAAATACAAAAATTAGCTGAGAGTGGTGGCACATGCCTGTAGTCCCAGCTACTCCGGATGCTGAGGCAGGAGAATTGCTTGAACCCAGGAGGCAGAGGTTGGGAAGCGGAGGTTGCGGTGAGCTGAGATCGCACCATTGTACTCCAGCCTGGGCAACAAGAGTGAGACTCCATCTCAAAAAAAATAACAAAAAATGAAAGCTGCCCCATTTTGTTCTACTTCACAAGAGAGGTTCTAGTGTGAGGACTCAATGTGGTGTAAACACTATGGGAGGACACTCCTTAAGCCCCTGGTCAGGGGAGGAAGCTTCTAAAAACCCAGCTCAGCCCCCTCCAGCACCTCAGGTCTTCTTTTACTGGGATCCCCCTAACCCTGCATGTGACACCCACAGCCCTGAGGAGGGAGGCTTTCACTTACAGCCCAGGGGTGTGGGTGGAGGAACCTGGACACCAGCAGGCAGGACCAGATGCTGGCTCCCACGTACTGACTACGACCTGGGGCACGTCCCTCATGTCACTGAGACTAAGTTTCCAACACAGGGCTGTTGTGAGCTTCGAGAGGTCACACATCATTCTTCCAGGGGCCAGTGTGGGAAAATGGAAACAACCCTGGTGCTGGGCTCAGAGGGGCCTAGGTTCTGACGGTTCCAGCTGGGTGACTTGGACATGTTTCTGAACTTCTCAGCATCTCAGCTTTGTCATCTGGAAATGGGTATAATGGTCCCTCTCAGGGCTGCTGTGGTGACCATGTGTGTACCATGCAACGTGCTGGGAACAGAGGAGGAACTCCCTAAATCCCCTTCCCCTGGGAGTCGCTAGGACAGGCTGAGCTCCCCAAAGAATGCCAGTTCTGGGGGGCACTCTGGGTTCAAATCCTGACCCCACTGCTGACTCACTGAATGAAAGGCGCCAGGCTTTTATCCCCTCTCCAGTAAAACCATGGGTTGACATGGTCTCTGTAAATTATCTGGCAAGTCACGAGCTTTGGGTCGATGCTAGCCATTCATGTCCCACACTCCAGAGGAGTCCTGTGCTGCGTGAATCAGCCAGCAGTCCAGGACCGAATCCTCCCTCACCACCAGTGGCCGTCCTGTTCAGCCAGAGTCCTGGCACACCCTCTGCATCCACTGGACCAGGACCCCCACGGAGGGGACTCTAGGAACAATGGTGCCATTGTCAACCGCAGTGGCATGCCTGCCAGAGGCCTCACCTGTCCTTGTGGCACGGAGGAGAAGCCCAGGCTCCTGTAGGAGATGAGGGAGTTCTTCATCGTGTTCACAGTGAAACCGTAGAAAGAAGTCTTGGTGCCCACATCACGCTCGAAGCCTTTGATCACAGCTCCATTGAGTCTGGTTGGCACAGAAGCCCATCAGGCTCTGCGGTTACCCCAGGCTGTCTGTTCTACTTCCATCTCCGTGGTTCTGCCTGGCCTGTCCCCCTGCCTCTGTATGACCACTTCTTCTGCCCATGGTATTACCAGTGCCCAGTTGCCAGCCAGACCCCCACTCCTCCAGAGCTCAAGGGGTGATGCCTGTGAACAGAGCTTGTCATGGCTGCTTCTTCCTCCTGGGTCCCCTGCACGGGCACCCACACTCCATGCTCAGGGCCTGCTGTTTGTGTCTGCCTTGTCCATGCCTGTGTGCCCGTCACAACTACTGAGCTGCCCAGGCCGCTGCTGCCATAGCCCACGGCCCCTGAGGGAGACACCCCCACCCTCCGGTCAGCTCTCTCTCCCACCCCTCCCCAGCCCCTGCCTCTCGTACCTGAACACATAGTCATGGGCATCGATGTTGGGGCCCTGACGGGACCCATTCAGAATGCCTCCATTGCCCACCACGGCACACTGGATACACTTTGGAGGGGGCTCCTTGGGCCGGGCAAATAGCTTGGTGCTCTCTGAGCCATTCAGAAGGCTTAGGGTGGAGGCGATGGCTGTAGGTATGGATGGGGGCAGCCATGAAGAGGGCTGGCATCAGGGGCACCTGGGACCTTCCCTAGGCTGGTTCTGGTGCCCTACCTCCCCTGAGGCCTGACCCAGCCCCTCCCCAGAAGCAGAGAGGGCAGGAGGGAAGGAGATGTCTGTGGGGGGAGAGAACTGAAAAGCTGACAGTGGAGGAGGGGGCTTGGGGCCTTCACTTGTCCTAAGAACCCGAATAACTTATCCTCTTAAGACTGTATTCCTAGAGAAGTGTGCTCAGGGCTTAAAAAAATAAAAATTAAAAAAGCCAGGCAAGGTGTCTCGTGCCTATAATCCCAGCACTTTGGGAGGGTGAGGCAGGTGAATCACTTGAGGTCAGGAGCTCGAGACCAGCCTGGGCAACATGGTGAAACCCGGTCTCTTCTAAAAATACAAAAATTAGTTTGGCATGGTGGCGGGCACCTGTCATCCCAGTTACTTGGGAGGCTGAGGCACTAGAATCGCCTGAACCTGAGAGGCAGAAGTTGCAGTGAGCTGAGATTGTGCCATTGCACTTCAGCCTGAGCGACAGAATGAGACTCCACCTCAAAACAAAACAAAACAAAACAAAACAAAACTGTATATTGCAAACGAAAAGAAATGCAAGCCTGAGGGGGTTGGGGAGCAGGTGTGATGTAGAGGGGGCTCTGGGCCTGCAGTGTGGAGGGTCCTGCAGCAGCAACTGTGACTGAGGTGGTTTGAGGCCCCCACAGCCTGTCCTTGGCCACCAGTGGACACTGCAGCCTTTCTTGCCAAGGAGGCCCCAGGACGGTGAGGGCCCGGCGGGGCAGGCATTGGGGTAGGCCAGCCCCCTCATGGACCCCTAGGTGCTTGGATGGAGGAGGAAGGTGAGGCAGGAGCTGCAGAGCTGGGGCTTCTGGGAGGAGAGGGGGGTCAGGGAGGCCCTGCATCACCAGCCACGAGGGCAGGGAGGCCTGGCCTACCTCAGGGCCAGGAGTGGGAAGCTGAGGCAGAAGGCAGGTGAGAGATGCGGGTGTAGGTTACCTTGGCGAGAGAGCCCCCGCCAGCCATACGGAGCTTTGTGTTGGCTCAGGCGGTCCCAGAGCTCTGGGGTGAAGAGGTCCCCCCACAGCAGCACTGGAATGGAGAGATTGAACAGGCCATGGAAGTGGGGGTCCCGCTGAATGGCCAGGCGAAGCAGGTGTCGGCAGGCCTGGGCCTGTGGGTGAGAAGGTAGGGGCTGGGGTGGGTAGCACCCCGCAGACTCTGCAGGGAAGCTGGGAGTTGTGAGGGAAGGCCTGCCCTGTCCCCTCCAGATCGGGGCCATCTTGCATTTTTGAACTGAGCTGGCTGCTAAGGGGTCCAGGAACTTTCTGGATTTAGTCTGCCTAGCTTGTCCTCTCCCAGAGGCCACGTCCCCTTGGCCTGATGGTTCTGGCCTCATACTCCTTCACCTCACACTTGAGCAAACTCTGGGGCATTTTCTGATGCATGGGTCTGACCTTCCTGTCCCTTGGTGGAGGAGTTCCAGTCTGGGCTGCGCAGAAGACGTCACTCTGCATGCAAAGCCTAACTCTGCTGATACACCACGATTTGTGTGTGAACAGACGTCACTCTGCATGCAAAGCCTAACTCTGCTGATACTCCACGATTTGTGTGTGAACAGACGTCACTCTGCATGCAAAGCCTAACTCTGCTGATACTCCACGATTTGTGTGTGAACAGACGTCACTCTGCATGCAAAGCCTAACTCTGCTGATACACCACGATTTGTGTGTGAACAGACGTCACTCTGCATGCAAAGCCTAACTCTGCTGATACACCACGATTTGTGTGTGAACAGACGTCACTCTGCATGCAAAGCCTAACTCTGCTGATACTCCACGATTTGTGTGTGAACAGACGTCACTCTGCATGCAAAGCCTAACTCTGCTGATACACCACGATTTGTGTGTGAACAGACGTCACTCTGCATGCAAAGCCTAACTCTGCTGATACACCACGATTTGTGTGTGAACAGACGTCACTCTGCATGCAAAGCCTAACTCTGCTGATACTCCACGATTTGTGTGTGAACAGACGTCACTCTGCATGCAAAGCCTAACTCTGCTGATACACCACGATTTGTGTGTGAACAGACGTCACTCTGCATGCAAAGCCTAACTCTGCTGATACTCCACGATTTGTGTGTGAACAGGCTGCCAGATGCAATTAGTTAGGAGGAGGTCATAGAGGGTGAGGTTGGGCCGAACTAGTATCCTTATAAGGAGCCTGAGTGATGATGAAGCAGAGATCTGTGTGATGCAGCCACAAGCCAAGGAGCCTCCAGAGCCTCCAGAGCTGCGGAAAGGCAGGGGAGGCTTTCTTCGAGCCTTCAGAGAGAGCATGGCCCTGCCAGCACCTTGATTCTGGGCTTCTGGGCTCCAGAACTGTGACGATTCCATTTCTGTGGATCGAAGCCCTCCAGGCTGTGTTCCTTTGTTCCAGCGGCCACGGGGAAGGAACACAGCACCTCCATACTCATGGGCCTTGAGGGACGGTGAGGTCAGGAAATAGGCCCAGCCTTGTCTGCTGTGCACAACCTCGCAAGGTCAGAATCGAACACAGTCATGGTCTGGGTGGCCCTTCTCTTACTCCTGAATGGGGAGTTAAGCCATTGGTTTGATCAAAGGACAAAGCAGGAAATAGTTGTGCAGTCATTTCTACTATAATGCAACTTATGAGTGGCTAAATATCACCGTGCTATGAAAAGCTATGCAATCACCACCATGGGGCAGCTGGGCGTGGGGGCGTACCCTTGTAATGCCAGCACTTTGGGAGGTCGAGGCAGGAGGATCACTTGAGGCCAGGAGTTTCAAGATTAGCCTGGTCAACATAGCAAGACCCCATGTCTGCAAAAAAAGATCTTTTTTTGAGACGTAGAGTCTCACTCTGTCGTCCAGCCTGGAGTGCAGTGGCGTGATCTGGACTCACTCCGCTCCCGGTTCAAGCGATTCTCCTGCCTCAGCCTCCTGGATAGCTGGGAATATTGGCCTGTGCCACCATGCCGGGCTAATTTTGTATTTTTAGTAGAGACAGGGTTTCACCATGTTGGCCAGGCTGGTCTCAATCTCCTGACCTCATGATCTGCCCCCCTTGGCCTCCCAAAGTGCTGGGATTACAGGTGTGAGCCACTGTGCCTAGCCAAAAAAATGTTTTTAAACTAGCCAGACATGGTGGCCCAGGCCTGTAGTCCCAGCTACTTGGGAAGCTAAGGTGGAGGGATTGCTTGAGCCTGGGAGATTGAGGCTGCAGTAAGCTATGATCATGCCACTTCACTTCAGCCTGGGTGACAGAGTGAGACCCCTTCTCACAAACAAAACCAAACAAAATAAAAACAAAAAAAGAAACACCATGGGCTTATGAGAAAATGGGATGAGTGACATAACACTGAAAAACTGTCAGGAATGCATAGAACCAAAGATAAATATCCAAGAAAGACAGAAGCATCGTTTTACAGATGTCCCATGGTTAAGGAATGCTTGAGATTAATGTAGAAGTGGGTGTGGAAGTGTGTGTCAGAAGGGGGCAGTTTGTGTGATATTGTAAAACGGTGGGAAGAAGGTTGTCTGGAACCAGAGGGAACTGTGCCGCCAGGCTCACTAGGGCGGTGAACCCATAACATGTTTGGTGAAGCTGATGGAGATCTCACGTGCACCTGTGTGTACTTTTTGTGTATTCCTACATGGCTTTGCTGAGTTGGGTGTGGTTTCTGTGTTAACCTAGAGTTTTCACGGATGAAACCACGCAAAAGAAAATGCACGGCGGGGCGGCGTGGCTCATGCCTGTAATCCCAGCACTTTGGGAAGCTGAGGCAGGCAGATCACCTGAGGTCAGGAGTTTGAGACCAACCTGTCCAACATGGTGAAACCCTGTCTCTACTAAAAATACAAAAATTAGCCAGGTGTGATGGCGCACACCTGTAGTCCCAGCTACTAGGGAGGCTGAGGCAGGAGAATCCCTTGAACCTGGGAGGCGGAGGTTGCAGTGAGATGAGACTGTGCAACTGCATTCCAGCCTAGACGACCTAGCTAGACTCCGCCTCAAAAAAAAAAATTACAGTTAAGAAGGCAAAAGCATACAATAGAATAAAATGAGGAAATGAGGGAAGGAGAAGTAAAGAAAGGAAAGTAAGACAATGTGAAGTAAGTACAGGAAAAACGTGTCACAATCTGGGAGACATGGGCCAAACATCTGGCTCTGAGCTTCCCGGTGGTCGGAGCTAAGAAGGAAACGTTGCCACCACATCCAGGGGATAAAAGCTCTACCTAGCAGTTTTTGCCTTCTTATATGTGTCCAAAAGCCAGATGGGGACAGGTGGGGACATATGTCAGTTAGCATCAAACAGCACAAGGGCCAAGGTGGAAAAGACTTTAGGAAGCTTCAAGACAACCTGGTCCGAGCATTCATAAGGTGCTTAAGGCCTCTCTTCAGCCTGCCAGCCAAGTATCCATTGACCTCTGTTATTTTTTTTTTTGAGACGGAATCTCAGTCTCAGTCTGTTACCCAGGTTGGAGTGCAATGGTGCGATCCTGGCTCACTGAAACCTCTGCCCCCTGGGTTCAAGTGATTCTCCTGCCCCATCCTCCTGATTAGCTGGGACTACAGGCTCTTGCCACCACACCCCACTAATTTTTGTATTTTTAGTAGACATAGGGTTTCACCAAGTTAGTCAGGCTAGTCTTGAATTCCTGACCTCATGATCCACCTGCCTTGGCCTCCCAAAATCCTGGGATTACAGGCGACAGCCACCATGCCCAGTCGGCCTCTGTTCTGAAGACAGGGCCCCCATCATCTGCCCAGGGCTACTTGCTGTGTCTCTGAACAGCTTGGCTGTCACTAAGCTCTTGTATGCAGTGAACTTTGTCTCCGCTAGGCCCCTGTCAGCGTGTCCCAGATTAGTCTCTTGGGTATGGAAAACACCTCTTAAGCCTGTATTAATCCAGAACAACACAGTCACCATCCTGCTTAATGGCAGCACGTGGAGCCAGGGGGTGGTGGGGATTGGGGAGGGGGGTGGGGGCGGCTGGATTGTGCATTGGTTCTGAGCCAGGTTCTAGACAAAAGGCTCAAACCCAGTACTGCCTCTTACTACCTAAGTGACGTACTTCACTTCTTGGGGCCTCATTTCACCCATTTGCAAGGGCCACATTCTAGGGTGGCTGTGAGGCTTCAATGAGAGAACGCAGGTAAAGTCCCAAAATCAACGCTGGCAACGCTGTCTGCCACTTACGGTTATGAGGCAGGAACCTGAAGGTTCTCAAACCTTCTGGACAAGCAAGGGTGTCTTTCCAGAGCCTGGAGTTTGCTCCGGGATGAGCAGTTTAAATGTGACTTTTATAGGAAGTAGGTATTTTGAAGAGTAGAGTATAAAATTCACAGGACTGGCCAGGCATGGTAGCTCACATCTGTAATCCCAGCACTTTGAGAGGCCAAGGCCTCTCACCTGTCAGGAGTTTGAGACCAACCTGACCAACGTGGAGAAACCCCGTCTCTACTAAAAATACAAAAAAATTAGCCTGGCGTTGTGGCGCATGCCTGTAATCCCAGCTACTCAGGAGGCTGAAACAGGAGAATCACTTGAACCCGGGAGGTAGAGGTTGCAGTGAGCCGAGATCATGTCACTGCACTCCAGTCTGGGCAACAAGAGTGAAACTCTGGCTCAAAAATAGATAAATAAAAATAATAAAATAAAATTCACAGGACTATTTAAGATACAATCTTAAGACTCCCAAAAACTGTTCAGCTGTTTCTACCCCAGGAGTATGTATTTATTCATCCTTTCCTGCTGTGTCAACTCTGTACTTGGGGCATTCCCAAGAGCTCCTGCCTAGCAATCTCATGAGAATGCTCCTGTTTGCTCTTCTTCCCTCCTCCCCACTAATTTGAGGGTGCTCAAAACTGCCACGGTACCTTTCTTGTCCAAGAATTTGATGCTTTGGGTCGAAAGAATGCTTGAAATGGTGTGGCGTCCCTGGGGGAAAAAGCAGAAAAAAAGCAAGGATCAGCAGCACAGACCTACCCCTTGGAAACTTTTGGACTGACTGACTCCCTTAGCTCTAGGGGCTGACAAATCCGCCTGTGCCCCACGTGGTGGCTCACACCTGTAATCCCAGTACTTTTGGAGGCTGAGGTGGGAGGATTGCTTAGGACCAGGAGTTGGAGACCAACTTGGGCAACATAGTGAGACCTCATGTCTACAAAAATAAAAAAATTAGCCGGGTGTGGTGGAGCATATGTGCCCTCTGGCCTTTCTGCCTTCCACTATAAGGATGCAGCAAGAAGGCCCTCTCCAGACACAGACCCCATGACCTGGGACTTCCCAGCCTCCAGAACCATAAATCTCTGTTTTTCATAAATGATCCAACTCTGGTGTTCTGTGAGAGCAGCACAAAACAGACTCAGACAGCTTTGCAGCCTTACTCCCTGGGTTTGCAACCTGCCTCCACCACTTGGCTGCTGTGTGATCTTGGGCAGTTGCTGAACTTCTCAGAACCTCAGACTCTGCATCTGTACAATAGTGATAATCATACTGAGCTCCTTCAATTGTTAGGAGGGTTCAAACAGAGTGTATGTTGGCACATATAAAAAGTGCCCTCTAAATGTTAGCTCTTGATACCTAAAGGAGGAAGAGAGAGGATCTTACTGTGTCAGCCTCTATTACTAGTGTCTCTTCTAGAGGGTGGTAAGGGGACAGTCCCCTCCCAGTTCCCAATTCCCAGGCACTAGGTGGGCCCTGAATCGGGGCAGAAGGAAAACATGAAGGAAGGAGCGGGGGTCCTTACCCTTTCAAAAGAGTGGCCAGCCTTCTCTCAGACCCCTCCCTTCACTCCAGCAGCCACAGGGAGCAGGTGGAGGGGACTCTGGGTTGGCAGTTTGTGAGAGAAACAAAGGCCTCTTGTTACCTGCTTCCAGGTGGCAGCTGAGCCACAGGGGAACTCAGGATCTGCCTTTCTGTGGTTTCTGGGTTTCCTACAAGACCTTGGAGGCACAGCCTAGAGGGAGCAGGGTTGATTCCTTCCCCCTCCCTCCCTTTCTCCCTCAGACTGTCCACCTGTCCATCCACGTAATCCCATAGTTCCTGCTCACGAGCGCAATATAACCCCCTCTGAGAAGGAACTAGGACGGTGGTGCTCAGCCTAGGTTGCCTATGAGAACCCCCAGGGTGGTTTGGAAAACCCCATTGCTCAGCCCCCACTCCTGAGATTCTGATCTGATTGCTCTGGGGTGGGGAGCGGGCACTGGTGAGTCCAATCCCTACCTTCCCATCCCAACCAGGTGGTTCTGCTGTGCAGCTGGGCTTGAGAGCCTGGTGGAGGAGCTGCGGAACAGGGCAGAGTTGAGATGGGAGGGGCAGAGCTGTAAGGGAGGGGATGGGGAACCACCAAAGCGCAGTTTCACTGCCCTGAACTCTCCACCCTCAGGGCGGCCTGGCGACTCCAGAGCATCCTTGGTGCCCAGCAACTTCTCCCAGCCCCAGCCCCACTACCATTGAGCCTTCCAGATTCTCCCTCTCAGGAATCCATGTGCCTGGGGCAGCTGGAAGGGGGTAGGAAGGGGTCAGCCTGCACATGCCCTTCTGGGAAGTTTTACCAGCCTCAGAAGATGTATGGACCATGTGCTGCATTTTTCTACAAGCTAATTTTACTCACAACTTAGATAACATTCTTTTTTTTTTTGAGATGGAGTCTCAGTTTGTCACTCAGGCTGGAGTGCAGTGGCAGGATCTCGGCTCACTGCAGCCTCGACCTCCTGGGCTCAAGTGATCCTCCCATCTCAGCCCCCTAAGTAGCTGGGGCTACAGGCATGCACCACCATGCCTGGCTTTTTTTTTTTTTTTTTTTTTTTTGTATTTTTAGTAGAAACGGGGTTTTACCATGTTTCCCAGGTTGGTCTCAAACTCCTGGGCTCAAGCAATCTGCTTGCTTCAGCCTCCCCCAGTGCTACAGGAGCGAGCCACTGTGCCCTGCCTTCACATTCTAAGAGCCCTAAAATATTCTCTTTTTAAAAACATAACATTGACAGTAACTGACAGCCCTATGTTGATTCTCACTCTCTCTTCTGTTAAACAACAACAACATTTAGTAGAAATCCTCATGCCTGGGACTCACTGAGCCAGCTTCTGCTGTGAAGAAATTCCCAGACTGGAGTCCACTCTAATCTGCACAAAGAGTCCCTCCTTGGGCTCCGTAGACCCTTCCCAGCTGCCCGTCTTCCTGGACTCTCCCTTGTAGCCAGACATGTCCATTTCAGTCCTTAGCTGGGGAAGCTCATGCGGCCTGCTGGCTTTGCCCAGAATGCCATCCACCTCCCACTCTTTCCTCCAGACTAAATATCCACCTCCCACAGCAAGGCTGAGTCCTGATCTGCCCCGCACTGGGGATTATGCTACAGTGCAAATACAGAGAAACAGCAGGAAACGGCCAGGTGCTTGAATCATACTACTTTTTGAAAAGAGGAAAGATCTTTAAAAAAAAAAAAAATTGTTGCAGTATAATAGAAGTATAGTAAACTTCATACTTAAAGTTGTATTAGATATCTTGAAATAATTTTTTTTTGAGACGGTTTTGCTCTTGCTGCCCAAGCTGGAGTGGAATGGCAGCATCTCAGCTCACTGCAACCTCTGCCTCCCACGTTCAAGCAATTCTCCTGCCTCAGCCTCCCGAGTAGCTGGGATTACAGGCATGTGCCACCATACCCAGCTAATTTTGTGTTTGTAGTAGAGGCGGGGTTTCACCACGTTAGTCAGGCTGGTCTTAAACTCCTGACCTCAGGTGATCCACCTGACTTGGCCTCCCAAAGTGCTGGGATTACAGGCGTGAGGCCCCTCGCCCAGCCAAAATAATGAATTTGTGTGTATGTGTGTGTGTGTTTTTTGAGATGGAGTCTCTGTCTCCCAGGCTGGAGTGTAATGGTGCAATTTCAGCTCTGCAACCTCTGCCTCCCTGGTTCAAGAGATTCTTCTGCCTCAGCATCCCAAGTACCTGGGACTACAGGTACACACCACCATGTCAGCTAACTTTTTGTCTTTTTAGTAGAGACAAGGTTTCACCATATTGGCCAGGCTGGTCTCGATCTCCTAACCTCATAATCTGCCCACCTCGGCCTCCCAAAGTGCTGGAATTACAGGTGTGAACTACTGCACCTGGACTAATTTGTGTTTTTTAAAAAATGTATTACTAGGGAGGCTGAGGTGGGAGAATCACTTGAGCTTGGAGGTGGAGGTTACGGTAAGCCAAGATAGAGCCACTGTATTCCAGCCTGGGCAACAGAGTGAGACTGTCCCCAAAAGTTATTCTTACAAGAAAAGCAATTTATTTCTTACAGTTATGGGGGCTAAATCCAAGGTTGAGGAGCCACATTTGGTGAATTTTTGTTTTATTTTCCTCTGCTCCTTGTGGAGCAGGGCTCCCCCATAGGCGGAGCAGCCAGAGGGCTTTGGTGTTGGTGGGGCAGGAAGTCACATGCGGAGGGGGCTGAGCTGCTAGATCAGGTCTCTTCCTCTTTGTAAAATTATTTTTAATTGGTACATACTTGCACATATGTACAGCATACCGTGTGAGATTTCAATACGTGTATGCAAATGTGCAATAATCAAACCAGCTAACTAGTATATCCATCACCTCGAATTTTTAAAATTATTTTTTGAGACAGGACCTCACTGTATTGCCCAGGTTGGAGTGCAGTGGCACCATCACAGCTCACTGCAGCCTCGACCTTCCGGACTCAAGGGATCCTCCTGCATCAGCTCCCCGAATAGATGGGACCACATGCATGCACCACCATGCCAGGATAATTTTTGTATTTTTGGTAGAGATGGGGTTTCCCTATGTTGCCCAGGCTCACATCAAACTTGGATTATTTCTTTGCATTGAGATACTGTGTGTTGTAAACATCTTTACATAAAAGTGACAAAGATTCCTTTTCTTTTCTTGTGAGACAGGGTCTCGCTGGGTCGCCCAGGCTGGAATGCAGTAGTGCAATCACAGCTTACAGCCTCGAATTCCTGGCCTCAACAATCCTCCCACCTCTGCCTCCCAGAGTGCTGGGACTACAGGCTTAAGTCACCGTGGGGGGCCAAGGATCCTCCTTCTTAATGCCTTTAACCCGAGTCAGGTTTCGTAACCCTCATTAGGCAATCCTGACTACAAGGGGATGTAAGAATTCCAGGTGTCGCCGCCAGAGCACCCTTTGCTCTAAGAGCGCTGGACACCTGATCACTGGCAAGCTGTTTGACATTTGTCTGCAACTATTGATGTGTCCTTTGACTTCATCTGGGGAGACCAGATACTTATTTTGTTTTCATCCCTTTAGGCCCCCAGCAAGGTCGGCGGGGGAGGGGGGCATGCAGATGGAAAAGCGCCAGGAAGGGAAAGGCTGAGACTGGGGCTGGAGGCCTCTCCCTGAGGCTGCGGCGCCCTTCCCGCCTCCCAAACCCAGACTCCGCACGGCTCGGTCCGCGTTTCTCAAGTTTTGCTGCTCATCAGTCCCTGGAACCACCACCTGCTAGAGGCCGGCTCCCATGTTCTCCTCGTGGGGCACCCAGGAGAGGAAAGTGCCCAGGGAGGAGGAGGGCGTGGAGCGCAGGAGGCGGCGCGGGGAGGAGAGCGCCGATAGAGCCCGGAGTCGCCCCTTGATCGCCCCCGCGTCCACCTCTTCGCGGATCGCGCCCGTCGGAGGCTTATCGAGACTCGGCGAGCAGAGGCCGGGAGAAGGGAGCGGGCGCGGGGCGGGCAGAGACTGCAGCGGGCGGGGAAGGCGGCTGGCCGCGGCCCAGCCGAGGGTCCCCCGGAAGTTGGAAACCGGACACTTGGGTCCCTGCCCCAAAAGCAGAATCAGACGTTACTGAGGGAGAACTCCCGGGAAAAAGGGTAGTTCTTCCCTGCTTAGCGGACCCAGCTAGATTTCGACAATAGAAACTGTACTAATCAGGCCGGGGGCGGGGGGACTTCACCAACAAGGGCGACCGGGCCGGGTCGCCAGTGCGCAGGGGGCGAGGGCCCCCTTGGACCCAGGCAAAGGCCGCGGGGTCCGGGCAGCGCGAGGTTTAGGCTGGGAGGGGGTTCTGTCAACAAAGGGCCACGGCCCGAGTCCTCGCTGTGAGCCGCCCCAGAGGGGTCCAGGCGGAGGCTGGGCTGAGGGCTGCGGGCCGCCGGGGAGCCTGGGCTAGGCGCCCTCCCCGCGCCCAGGTCACCCCTGCGCCTTCCGGCTCTGCACGCGGCAGCCCCTACCTGGCTCCGGCCGCGGGCCCCGGGTACCGCTGCACCGCCGAGAAGAACAGGGCAAAGAGGAGCCCCGAGCAGGCAGCCGCGAGCAGGAGCAGCAGCCAAAAGAACCGCCCGCGCGGGAGCCCCATACAGCCCCGGCCCGCGAGCGCCCGGTCCGCAGGCGTCCCGGGCAGAGCGCAGAGGCCCTGGTGTGCCGGGTGGGACTTGTGGAGGCGGCCGTCCTGCCCTGCCCCGCCCTGCCCGCCCAGTGCTCGCGGCGCCTCCCCGTCCGGAAGCTCCCTCTTGGCCCCGGCCGGGTGTCCAGACGCCGCTGCACCCTCGGAGGCTGTGCGGCGGGTCCCGCGGGGCTGGAGTGTCGCCCGGCGCCCGGAGCGCAAGGTCCTCTGGCCCTGCCCCTGCCCCCTGCCCGGTGGACTCTGGCCGCGGCCACTCCTGGCACTGCGCTTTCTCCAGCCTAGCCCCAGGAGGCCGCCAGTCTCGGGTTGGGCAGGGCGCTTTCCTCGCGCGTTCCTGGCTAGGCGCAGGGAGACGCCTGGCTCCACCTGCCGCGCTGCCTGCGCTCTGCGCTCTCTGGAGCCCGGCACTCGGCTTCCAGACTCCGTGCAGGTGGGCGGCGGCCAGGAGGAGATCTGCCCGGCTCCCTCCAAAGGACCCTCAGCCCTGTCAGTCCGCGGACAGCAGAACAGCTGGGTAGGGGACGGGCAGGATGGAGGAGCAAACCCCGCAGCTCAGTCTCTGGGCTGACCGTAGGGAGGCAAAAAGGGGTGAGGTGGGGAGCCTGCCTTGGTGGGATGCATGGGAGAGCTGAGGCTGTCAGCAATTATTTGGTGACCATCCAGGGCGGCCAGGCCCCTCAGTCGCCTTGGGGTTTTTTGTTTTTGTTTTTGTTTTCGAGATGGAGTCTCGCTCTGTCGCCCAGGTTTGAGTGCAGTGGCGCAACCTCGGCTCACTGCAACGTACACCTCCTGGGTTCTCCTGCCTCAGCCTCTCTAGTAGCTGGGATTACAGGCGCCTGCCACCGCTCCCGGCTAATTTGTGTGTGTGTGTGTGTGTGTGTGTGTGTGTGTGTGTGTGTGTGTGTGTGTGTGGTTTTTAGTAGAGACTGGGTTTCACCATCTTGGCCAGGCTGAACTTCCTCGTGATCCATCTGCCTCGGTTTCCTGAAATGCTAGGATTACAGGCGTGAGCCACCGCGCCCGGCCTGCATCGAGTTCCTTTTACAAAACGAGGCCAGTCAGAGAGACCACCTGAAAGGTCCAGCACAGCGGGTTCCCAAACTTGTTGGCACAAAGGGACTGGTTTCCTGAAAGACAATTTTTCCGCGGACAGGGGTGGGAATAAGGGGAGTTGGGGATGAAACTGTTCCACTCAGATCATCAGGCACGAGTTAGATTCACATAAGGAGCCCGCAACCTAGATCCCTGGCATGCTCAGTTCACAACAGGGGTCACACTCTCTAAGAATCTGAATCTGATCTGAAGGAGGCGAAACTCTGGCGGTGATGCTCCTTTACCGCCCCCCTCACCTCCTGCTGCGGGGCCGGGTTTCTAACAGGTCGTCCACCAGGCTTGAGACTGGGGCTGGTCGCCCGTGGGCAGGCGGGGAGGGCCCCCTTGGACCCAGACAAAGGCCGCGGGGTCCCAGCAGCGCGAGGTTTAGGCTGGGAGGGCGTTCTGGAGACAAAGGACCACAGCCCGAGTCACATTGGGCCAGTGCTTTCCTTCACCGCAAGACCGCTGGGTAGAGCCAGGCTCACTTGCTACCCTGCAGATGGGCACTACTTGGAATTTATGATGTCAAGAATTTCATTTCAAATGGCAGTACTCCCCTCACATCAAAGTCTCCTATCCACCCACCTGGAGTAGTAAGTAGAGCAGATTTTGCTCTACTTAGAAGCTAAATGATGAGCCTGCCACAGTTCTGTGGTTGCTGGTAGAAGACACAAGACTAATGGATCAGAAACAAAGGACGTTATTACTCATGGCACAGCGAGCAACATAGGCATCATGTTTGTGTCACTTCTGTTTACTCCTCAAGTCCCATGAGAGCCAGAGGGGCCCAGGTGGCTGTTGCACACACAGTGGGTTTGCAGCACAGCTGAGAAACCCCGAGGTAAGGGAACCAGAATCTTTCATAATGGGCTGCAAGGAAACCTGCCCTTCTCCAAGAAGGAGACATTATCTTCGTTATGTTGGATGGTGAGGAAATCTGCCCTCTGCTCCAGAGGGAGGCACTTTATCTTCCAAGGCAGTCTGCCATACCAATGGTCTTGAAAAGAGCCTGGAACAAAAGGGCAGGGAGTCCCTCTGCTCACAGCATGCCCATGTGCCCTCACCTTATTGCTCCAGACTCTCCTCCTCCCAGGGAGAGCCAGCCTCTTCACTGTGGCCTCCCACTCTTCGGCAGCCCTTCCTGTCCCCTCTGCAAGGTCCTTATCACAGCCTATGAGCGTGCCCCCAATAGCTCATCCTAAAAGCAAAACAAAACAAAGAAAAAACCATGTTGAGCTGCCCCCTTCACAGCTACTCTCTTTTTCTTTCATCCAAGTTCTTGGTAGAGAGAAGTCTATTTTCTTTCCACTTCTTTTTGCATCTGACTTACTTGCCTATCATGCCATTGAAATCGTACCCACCAAAGCCACTAGCAACCATCATCCTTCCAAAGGAAGCCTGCATTTTCCAGTTCTAATCCTGCTGCATCTGAGCTCCAAATACCTCCAGCTTTCGACTCTTTGCTCTCACGGTTTCAACAACCAGCTTTCTGTTTGTGACTCCTGAACTGGTCTCCATCTGAGGCTCAGATCTGTATCAGCTGCACACCTATTCAGCTATTTTTAAAGTCCATCCCTGGAGACCTGTGTTACTTTCTTCTTTCTTTCTTCTTCTTCTTTTTTTTTTTTTTTTGAGTCAGAGTCTCACTCTGTTGTCCAGCCTGTAGTGCAGTGGTGCAATCATGGCTCCTGCTGTCTTAAACTCCTAGGCTCAAGCGATCCTCCTGCCTTAACCTCCCAAGTAGCCAGAAGTACCGGCACCCACCACTATACCTGGCTAATTTATTTTTTATTTTTGCCTTCAGCCACTGTACCTGGCCTGACTTGTTTACTTAACTTAAAAAAAAATGTCCTTAGACATTTCAAATACAACCATAAAAAGAAATGGAGAAACACATCTTATGCATGTAACAAAATGTCATATGTACCCCATAAATATGTACAAATATTATATTATGTATCAATAAGAAAAGGAAAGAAACAAGCAGGCCGGGCACAGTGTCTCATGCTTGTAATCCCAGCACTTTGGGAGGCCGAGGCAGGAGGATAACCTGAGGTCAGGAGTTTGAGACCAGCTTGGCCAACATGGTGAAACCTTGTCTCTACTAAAAATAGAAAAATTAGCCGGGCCTGGTGGCATGAGCCTGTAATCCCAGCTACTCAGGAGGCTGAGGCAGGAGAAGTGCTTGAACCTGGGAGGCAGAGATTGCAGTGAGCCAAGATCACGCACTGCACTCCAGCCTGGGGGCAACAGAGTGAGACTCTCTCAAAAAAAAAAAAAAAAAAAAAAAACCATTGCAAGAGATCAGGACTTCCAGTGAAATGGAGAGAAAGTATAGAAAGACCACCACTTCAAGTCTGTGGAAATGATCTTGAGTCTTGAGGGCATAAAGCAAATGAACAAACATCTATCTGAGAAAATCTACTAGGCTGAGCACAATGGCTCATGCCTATAATCCCGGCAGTTTGGGAAGCCGAGGCAAACAGATCACCTGAGGTAAGGAGTTTGAGACCAGCCTGGTCAACATCACAAAACCCTGTCTCTACTAAAAATACAAAAATTAGCCAGGCATGGTGGCATGTGCCTAGACACTTCTAAGTAACCAAAAAGTAAGATGACTTGTTGCTAGCAGACATACATTACAAGACATACTAAAGGAATCTTCAGGCTGAAAGAAGATGGTCATTCAAATACACATGAGACAAAAAAACTCTGGTAAAAGAAATTCTGTAATTATAAAAAACAGTATTCATTACAGTATTCTCTACACTTTTGTATATGTTTGAAATTTTCTCTAATAAAAACCTAAAGTTTTCTTTTTAGCTGAAATATGCTTCATTAGATATTTTAAAACTATAAAGTTATCATTAACTTGAATCAAAGTCTTTAAAAGTATATATACATGCTTTTCACATAAGATGGACTAGGGATTATGGATTTGCAAAACCAGGAGATTGAAACTTCAAGTACTCTCTGTTCTAAAACAACCATGTGTAAGCATTTTGTAAAAACATATTTTTACTAAAATCAATTTATTTCTCAGTATCTGAAATGGCATGAATGTCAAGTAAGTTTCTAATCAAAATGTACTAGACCTTCTAATTATGTATCACAGGCTGGTTTTGTCATTTCAATCAAAACCATTTAGATAATTATTTTATGAAAAAAGCAATGATGAAAATTGTTTCACTTGTATTTCAAGAGTTTCTAAAAAAACAAATTTATGCATCGAATTGAAGCTGAGTAGAAACTGAGTTTGGAAAAAGAAAATACAGTTGATGACATAATTTTGAAATGAACAGGATATTCTAGATCAGTCAGAAAATGGATTATTAACACTTGTGATTCACACAATTAGAGTCACTGTTTTTCAGGGTTTAAAAAGCTTCTTTTTAATTTTTTTCTATAGATTCGTTCATGGGAAGATTTTCTTTTAACTTCTTGAAAATGTCAACATTTTGGAAAAAAATGTTATTTTATTATAAACGAGAAACTGATTTTTTTTGGAGATGAAGTTTCCCTCTTGTTGTCCAGGCTGGAGTTCAGTGGGGCAATCTCTGCTCACTGCAACCTCTGCCTCTCAGGTTCAAGCAATTCTCCTGCCTCAGCTTCCCAAGTAGCTGGGATTACAGGTGCAAGCCACCATACTCGGCTATTTTTGTAGTTTTAGTAGAGATGAGGTTTCATCATATTGGCCAGGCTGGTCACAAACTCCCTACCTCAGGTGATCCACCTGCGTTGGCCTCACAAAGTGCTGGTATTACAGGTGTGAGCCACTGTGCCCAGCCAAACCATTTTTGTTTAATCTCATTTCTACATGGTTGTTATTCATGCCTATCCACTGTAGTCTTCATAGAAAGCCCAAGAGGACAGAGTTTGGGGAGCTTCTGGATAGCGGAGCATGTGGAGGTTCTGGGAGGGTGGTGTGCCCAGGAAGGGCATGGAAGCTCCACGCCCCTTCCCCCATACCTCACCCTGTGCGTGTCATTATCTGTATCCTTTGTGACATCCTTTATAATAAACTGGTAAACATAAGTATTTCCTGCCTCAGTGAGCCGTGCTAGCAACTTAATTGAGCTTGAAGAGTGAGTCATGGCAACCCAGATTTATAGCCAGTTAGTAGCACAGGTAATACAACCCCTAGGGGTTGCAATGGGCATTGGAAGTGGAGAGGGAGCAGTCTTGTGGCACTGAGCCCTCAACCCATGATCTGATGCTGTCTTCAGGCAGATGGCCCTCGGAAGTGAACTGAATTAGAGGACACCCAGCTGGTGTCCGCTGCA